CACACACACACACACACACACACACACACACACATGCCAGCACGCACATAAGCACATGCCAGCACGTGCACACACACACATACACACACACACACACACACACACAGAATGTGGCAACCCAGTCTCTATCTTTCAGTTGGCACACATTAACTCTGCAAATCCTACTTTCCCATTTCACGTTTGGCGTTATACACCCCTGCCGCTGTGCGACACCGTAGTCACAGGGAGCGGTAGACTTCTCAACTTTTCTGTCACCTTAATACAGATGTATACCAGGGTTTTAGACAAAGGGGGGTTGTGTGCCTGGCCGTTTTGCTGGTGTCAACGAGCTATGTCCATGTGATGTACGTATTTATGGTGATGTGCACCCACTTATGGCATGTACGCATGTGCACACTTCTGGTCTCATACGTGCACTCTACCGTATACGCACGTGCATGCTTTCCCGCATATGCACGCACACTCTCCTGTTCAGAGTTGTTTTCTTCCTGTCGTGTCCGACAATGGTCGTTCTTCTTTCTGTTTCCCAATATCAATGTCGTGAATCTGTGAATATAATAATACTTACCAACCTAACATGGCACAGTGAACTATTTTCCGACATTTTTCTAGCCCGTTCGTTTGCATTTTTTCAGCGTTGTTTACAGTAACAGTTTTGTTTGGTCGTCATGTCTGACGGAGAAGGTAGTTTGGATGCACGATCCGCCAACTCAGGTAGTAGCCCCATGGAGCAGTTGCTCGAGCTCATGAAGCAGCAGATGCTAGCCTCGGAGCAGAGGGAGAAACAAATGCACAGCTTGTTGCAGAGGTCCCTGGCAGATCAGTCTCAGCCAAGTCAGAGCTCTCCGAACACTACTACTAGTACTAGTACTGCTAATCGCCTTCGTCCTGTGGGTGTTGCGGACATTCCGCGATTGATGTCCTCCGCCACACTCGCTGATTTCGGGGCTTGGCGCGAAGGCTGGGCAGATTACAGCCAATGCCAGCACCTGAATGACCAGGACCATGACACCAGGGTGGCAGCTCTTCGCCAATGTTTGGACGAGGACCTGAAAAGATTTATCCGTGAAGGCATTATTTCGTTCCCGTCTGGCAGTGATGTTACTGTAATCATCAATGCCTTGCATGCATGCATTTGTTCGCAATCAGCGAAATCCTTTACTGGATCGGATAGAATTTTACAAGCACCACTGGGGCAAGGGTGAGAGTTTCGACAGCTTTTACACCAGCCTGCGTGAATTGTACAACGCGTGTAATTTTGAAACGTACGCTCTGTGTCAGACGTGTCGGTTAGCTTGTTGTGGCACGTCCAAGCGACCAAAAGGTCAGCAAAGTTTGTTGGACCTATTTGGTCCTGCAGCGAAAAAGCCTTGCAATGAGCCGTCCTCGAGATCACCTGTGTCCGTCGTAGCGGAAGTTGAAGAAGAAGTAGCAGTTGCCAGCCCAGAAGAAGCAGGAAGCGCGGGCGCAGAACTGCCGACACCCAAGCGCCCACGTGGAAGTGTACATGATGTCGAGCGTCCACGGCGAACCGCAAGCTCGCTCCTCTCCTCCAGACAGTCTCGTGGGGAAGGTGAAGCAAGTGGGTAAGTACAGTATTCGGCGGTCCTGTTTGGTCGGCGATGAATATAATCACAAGAACGTTGTTCAAACACCGTCTACTGCATCCTACGCTTTCTTCCTACAGATCTCAAGACGAGCACGTTAGTGACGAAGACAGTGATGATGAGCTCCGTGCAAGTGTCAGTGAGAGTCATGATAGTGCACGTAGCGACTTTGAGCCTGCAGCAGTAGTGATCGATGATGACAACGAAAAGGCCCTGGAACTTGTAGAAGAGCAAACTGCACCTGCACGAGCACGAAGACCGATGATGGCAACTGGAACACGTAGGCCTGCTCCACGTCAGTTACCGCAGATACACCAGGCTCAGCGTACAATCGTCGTTACAGCGAAGAGCAAACACAAGGTTGGGTTCACCTCGGAATGGCTCGAGGATTTCATCTGGCTGCGTCCAGTGAAAGACGAAGAGGGTGAAGTGGTGGGGATGCTGTGTTCTCTCTGCAGACAGCACGATGCTAGATCAGTCCAGAATAAAAAGTACAATCTGGAAGAGTGTACCTGCAACTGTATTTCGCCGTGACAAGGTTGTCAAACACAGGAGCACGTCCAACATGCACGCCCAGTCTGCCTACCGCGAACAAGTTCGAATTGCTAGCCAACAAGATGGTGGCAGCGCAGCAGCACTTCACCAGCAAGTTGAGTTGCACCGACAAGCATGCAGAGGATTCATAAAGACATGATCGTCGGGAGAGAAGTCGAGAGTATGGGGGCGAATGTCCCGTACGTTGCGTTTTGTGTGGCAAGGCAATTTTGAAAAATGGAAAAAATGGGTTACCGCCCTTTACCGAGCTGTCCCCCCCCCCCCCCCTCCCCTACTATTTGTACCTGGCTAGAACCCTATATACCCTACACGCTGTCCATTTGTTTTGTTTGTTTGTTTTTTCGTACTACCTATGTCCAGCACAAGCGAATGTGTGGGCTGAGCAAGTGTCTTCGACACTTGCTTGGCTGACGCGGCCGTGGGAATGCAACTAATAAAAACAATATCCTATACACGGGTGTTTATGCTTGCTTTTCCTCTGCATGTTCCATCCTGCTCTGGCCCCAGCAGCCTACATGCATAGCCATCTTTTCGCCGTTGTAGTTCATGCTTGTTCTTGTCTTTCGGTGACAAAAGCACTCGGTTGTAACACATCTGGCATCTGGTTTGTGTTGTTCTTCACAACATCGCAGTACACTACAGCCTGCACATGAACTGCACATGCCCTGCACAAGCCCTGCACAGTACCTGCACATGACCTGCACAGCACATGCACATGCCCTGCACAGTACCTGCACAGCACATGCACAGTACCTGCACAGTACATGCACAGTACCTGCACAGGACCCACATAACATGTATAAAAGACTCACTGGATGTGGACACGTAGCACAGCTTTGTGTCAGGAGATGCTCCATTAGGAACATGCACAGGAACGTGCTGCCAATGGATACGTAACACGAAAACAGCAGGAACAGCCACTGGTTGCCCAGTCCTACACAGTTATTGATCCTGTACATGACACAGATACACAGTGACACACATAATTATACGGTACGTGTACAGGAAAAGAGCATCCACCACACAGACCCAGAGACAGAGCGCCCATGAATGCAGTAATGCTGTACCAGTGGTAGCTTATAGTACATGCATGTGATGACTATTCAATTTATTGCACACAAACAGAAACACAGAGGTAGACAGACAGCACCCCCCCCCCCCCCCCCTCACCCACACACGTGTGCGCATATGCACATTCTTTTTTTCGGCCTGAACATGGCACAAGCGTGAAATTCTGCGGAGCTACATTTGTTCTGATTTCAGGCAGAAGCACTATGCTTCTGCAGGGGACCGCACCTCTATATTTCCCAACCAGTCCAATGTTATCCTTTGATCGGAGACTGTACACGTACCACTAAAAATCTGTGTGTATTTAGAGAATATACGATATTAATTTTAGTATTTGCGCTGAAGATTGTGTTGTTGCTTGCGGTGTTCAGCTAAAGCGAGACTGTACAAATCGAGTGGAGAATGCAGAGTGGTGCCAGTTCAGCTTTCTGTACACCTGATGTCGCAGAAAGGACAAGGCTGAGCAAGACACACTGTACTCTCACAGCATGGACACCAGTTACACTCCAGCTGCTGCTACATACACTGCACTGGTCCTACAGCAGCTAGTCCACATGATCCAGTTACGTACCTCTCAGACGCACCTTCTTCCCAACCTGACTATGACGCCTTTGCAAACTACTGTTATGCTGCTGCTGGTACCAGCAGTGCCCAAGTAACAGTCACTGTCAATAGCACAGCATGACCCATCCTCAATGGTGGTGCCACCCCGAATGGAGACCGTTTGCAAAGACATCACTTGCCAATTCTGTTTGAGCCGGAGAGAGAGGCGCTCAAGAAAAGTCTGGCTGGCAAGGACATTGCAAGCAGCACCGCTGAGATGAGCGATGACATTGGTCGTTTCGTTTTGACTCTCCCGTTTACAACCTTTGAGAAGTCATTTGATGGTCGTCCTCTTGTCAAGGCTGTTGATTTGAAGTTCTTAGAGAAAACTTATCATACTACTGTGCCCACTGCCACGACTCAGACAGTAACAGCATATGGCATACCGTTCGATCGCGTTGTCATGGTGGACACAGACAAAGCTTCCTACATGAAGATAGCCTTCAAGGAGATCATGTCACCCTTGTTTCCCAATGCCATCCATGTAACATGTTGGGCACATGTGATAAATTTGGCGGGTGATGCATTTCGCTATCCACCACAAGCTTCTCCCGGTGTTAACTGGATATCACCCAAAAGAACTGGAGGGGACAATGGTTTCTTTCCCTTGCCGACACGGCGGTTTAGGCATTGTAAACCCCACACCTCTTAACAACCAGTGCAATATCAAAGGCTATTACTGCACCTCTGGTGGAATGCATTCGTTCCCAGCCCCCCCCCCCCCCCCCCCCTGGTGATTCTTTGGATTGCATTTATTCCACCAAACGAAAGTTGTCTGCAGCAAACCGACATGCTACCAAGAACAAGGTGTTTGGTTTCTTTGCTGCGGCGCCAGCAGAACCATCATATTCTGCTGACCGAGAATCGCGAATGAAACGCAAAATTGGCGAGCTGGCAGCCGAAGTAAAGGATCTGAAAGAGTTAGTTGCCCTGAAAAAATCCGCCATTGCCTTGATGAAGTCAAAGACGACGAGCAACAGCTCACCTGCACCTGCAGTTCAAGCTGACGTACATTGTACACATTGCAGTAGTACTCATATTAGTACCAGCAAATATAGCGCCAAGCAAGCTGCAGCTGTAGCTGGACATGTAAGTTACAGTTGGATGCGTACCGTACTACTGATGACAGTGAATGAAGGTGTGACACTGGTGGCCAGGATTCAACCCATACGCAGCTTCAAACCGATCGGCCCACATCCAATCTGCTTTCAAATGCATGAAGCCGAGAAGAGACGCCACTATGAGGAACGAGTGCGGGAGGTGGAGATGTCGAGTTTCACTCCTCTTGTTCTCGCAACAACTGGTGGTATGGGCAGTGCTGCTATCGAAGGCTGGCTGTCCTCATGGAGGAGTGTGGTTGTTCACCTGTTGGGTATCATACCCATATCTCGTTTATCTGGAGCCGTCTGGCCTTTGCTCTCCTACGTGCCAATATCATGTGTCTGCGGGGAGCCTGCTCACCAATTCCCTTGGCATAGGGGGATGGATGACGCATCTCCAGACGTTCCGGTTTCCGAAGCCCGGCTTGTTGGCAACCAGCTACCACGGGTAACGGATACAGACAGATCTAACAGAGACTATCATGAATGGAGTTGTCATTGTGTGCAGATTGTCAAGTTCCTTTTTCTTCCAAAAATAATCTTGTTTTGCTTTTTCGTTTATATAGGGGCCGTCCGTAATTATCGATCTTTTTCACGAAGAGAAAAAGTTTCTTTGATAATTATTGATAACTGAAACATCAATCCATTCTAGCTGTCAAGTATAATTTCCGTTGAAGGGCGTAGGTGGGTAGGGGAGGGTCAAAACTATTTTTTTCGTTCCGTGAAAAAAATCGATAATGCCGCATGGCCCCATAGTTGTTGTGCCAGGTCAGTGATATCATGAGAGTACCACGAAAAAAAGTCTGCGTGTATTTAGAGAATATACGACACATTGCATTTTCCTAACAATCGAGACGATTTCCCATTAGCAGAGTTCATGTGTTCACACATGCACAGCATAAGGATGCGCTCCCTTCTACAGCATACCATGGACAGTGGTGATCTCTGCGCAGCACGCATACGTCACAGATCCGACAGTGGTGTGCTCCTAGCGGTCGTCGGGCAAGGCACACTTTACAGTCATCCCAGACGGTAACTGTGTGAGAAAGAGAGCCATGCATACATGTCCACACATGCATACATGTCCACACATGCATACATGTCCACACATGCATACATGTCCACACATGCATACATGTCCACACATGCATACATGTCCACACATGCATACATGTCCACACATGCATACATGTCCACACATGCATACATGTCCACACATGCATACATGTCCACACATGCATATACATACATGTCCACACATGCATACATGTCCACACATGCATACATGTCCACACATGCATACATGTCCACACATGCATACATGTCCACACATGCATATACACACAGACAGGCACAGACGAATGCGCACGCATGCATGCACACACACAAACCCATGTACAAAAAAAACCATAACTTAGTCAAGTACAGAGACAGGCATGCACGGTCAAGAAAAAATTGTTCAGTCATGAGATTGGCCGTATAGTAGAAAACAAACTCACACATACCCAAGCATGGTATAAGCTATAAACCAGATTGAGTGCCATGTTGCATTTCAATTCCATCCAGATCAGACAAACTTTCAGTACAATGTCTATGTCGTAAATCTTATTGAAAGAAACACTTAAAAGCAGTACAATCTAAGAAACCAAATTTTGACATTAGAGAGGTTCCGCATACCTAAGTACGTTAGCAAAAACGTAGTCGATCTACGGAAAGTCTTACGTACACGGCATGCCGATCTGTTTTCAGCCATACGTAGTTTTCGAATCACGTAGCTGCCCTTGGCAACTCGGAACGCGGCAGTGTACGACCGGGTTGACCTGGGGAGTGAGTCATAAATTTGTACCCCAATCCACTCACGGGGCACCTCCGTTATCAAAACCCTATCTACGTACTCTACGTAGACAACTTTCCGTAAGTGGAGTGCAAACTCGCGAATTCACGGGTTTGTCCCGTCCACTAACATAAAGTTGCTCAACTTTACGTAGTGCGGAACCTCTCTATTGTTGAAACCAAAAGTGACATTTTTGAAGAAGAAAAATTGTGAGTGAAGCACTTGTGGTCGTTAGAGCACACTGGACATGTACAGTACCTGAGCTTGGGAGAGTCTGTGACGGAAAGACATGGCCAGGTCCGACAAACAGCAGAAGACGGGCATGAGCGAGTATCGCAGCTACAAAGGTAACAAAAAACCCTATAAGACACACAGGGGACAACAAACAGAACAGGCGGTTATGTGCTTATTGTGGAAATGCTATGGGGCTGGTGAGTTCAGGTGGAGTGAACTACGTCTACTAGTACTTGGTAGTGGTTTTTAGTAATTATGCTTCAATGTGGAGAGTGTAAGAATTTGCGGGCCAACACTCCCGGGTGGTCTTAACAGCAGCAGGCCCTACACAGTCTTAGCACAACAGGCACTCAGCCTAGTGTCGCACTCAGCCTAGTGTCGCACTCAGCCTAGTGTCGCACTCGGCCTAGTGTCGCACTCGGCCTAGTGTCGCACTCAGCCTAGTGTCGCACTCAGCCTAGTGCCGTACTCGGTCTAGTGCCGCACTCAGCCTAGTGCCGCACTCAGCACTCGGTCGCGTGCAGCACTAGGCCGAGCGCGGCACTAGGCTGAGTGCAGCACTAAATGCGACGATGCTTTCCCCAGAGCTTTGTTCTACATTGCATGAGTTGTAGGCAGATGACATCACAAACGCATGCAGGACGACGCGCTAGCCCGGGTCCAGAGCCCTTTATTCACGGCCATACAGACTACTGGCCAGCATTGTATGTAGTACATGTATCAAGAGTCCATAACCACTAGCATGAACCCGCGATTATAGGTCAATGTGCAGCGTGCCGCCTTCATTATAGAACTTGCATGCACCATGCCCCGTACTTCTTCAAAGAAACCCACAATCTCTCGTACCAGCACATCCGTTTTTGGCTTTATAAGTTCGAGTACCAACGTAATCTCTAAAAAAATGGATGCATGTACTTCAGTTTCCTACGGAAGTTCGTTTCAAACCACGCATGGATGTAGCTGCATGATATAATGACGGTAGCGCACCGTGCCCCTGGCCAATAGAATACAGATCATAATCGCTCTTGCCAGTATGATACGGTTGCATTATACCGTATTTTCCGGAGTACAAGCCGCATTTTTAAACACGTAATTCACCCAAAAAAAGTCGGTGTGGCTTATACTACGCTGGTCAAATGAACGGTGATGAACAGGGTGCATGTCTGTATTTCGTGATAACAAAATCTGGGTGCGGCATGTACTCCAGTGCAGCATGTACTCCAGTAGTGACTTTACTCCCTCGCACCCAGACGCTGATTTTTTGGAAACAAGTTTCTATACTTCCGATGGGAGAATCCGACATGGCAGTGCATTTCGGCGTGGCCAGGTCAAATTGTAGAATATCGCATCGAGTGAATTGCTTTATCTGAGAGAGGAGATGTTCGTGCCCTTGAGACCCGAAGTCCCGTTTCCATACGACAAAATTTAGGAGCTCTGCGCTCAGCGCTTTTTCAGGGTATGAATTTCGGGTTGTTCTGGTCGGGTCGCAGCGTCGCGGACTATTCCATCGTCTTCAGCGTCGAAAAACTACTGGCCATGTGAAATTACAAGGCGGTGAGACGCTTTCGTCTTCCTCTACGAGCGAATTTGTTCTGCGCCAGCATACCTAAGTATGCAATTTTGTACGCGCAGTTCGAGTGACGAGGCGTGTGCACTGTACACTGTACTGCATGAACGGACTGTGCGGTCGTTCTCGATTCTCCCATCGCTCCCATTCATTTCTGTTTCCAGCAAAAGTCCAACTTGGCGCACTTCAACTCACTATAACTCAAGAATGGCTGGGCCGATTCGAGTAATACTTACAGATTTCCTATGTACTACGCCTGGGAGAATCGAATGAGACCAAAATCGAAACGATCGGAGCAAGTTTTGGAAATTGGGTGTAGTCACTAACTCCAGTGCAGCATGTACTCCAGTCCAGTGCAGCATGTACTCCAGTGCAGCATGTACTCCAGTGCAGCATGTACTCCAGTGCAGCATGTACTCCAGTGCAGCATGTACTCCAGTGCAGCATGTACTCCAGTGCAGCATGTACTCCAGTGCAGCATGTACTCCAGTGCAGCATGTGCTCCAGTGCAGCATGTACTCCAGTGCAGCATGTACTCCAGTGCAGCATGTGCTCCAGTGCAGCATGTACTCCAGTGCAGCATGTACTCCAGTGCAGCATGTACTCCAGTGCAGCATGTGCTCCAGTGCAGCATGTACTCCAGTGCAGCATGTACTCCAGTGCAGCATGTACTCCAGTGCAGCATGTGCTCCAGTGCAGCATGTACTCCAGTGCAGCATGTACTCCAGTGCAGCATGTGCTCCAGTGCAGCATGTACTCCGGAAAATACGGTACATGTACTTTTTAAACAACTTTCGCACATACTTCTTGTGCACACACAGCTGTTCAGTTCAGTTCACACAGCTGGAATCCAAACTGTGCGTGCAAAAGTGCGAAAATTGTCACTGATTTGACTAAGTAATGCCCTGTGTTGATGGTTTCGCTATGTAGTTGGCGCCACTCGCAATCTCTGAGGTGCTATTTTTGTCACTGCTCTGATCGCCCAAAGGAAGGACTTGTTTGCTACTGCCCATGTCCCCAATGCACCGACTTTGAAGAGTACTGGTATGAAAGGCCTCGTCAAACTGCCAGTGCCTTCTGTGCTTAGTGTGTTAGTTTGTTTTCCTCCAACAAAAGATCTATTCAGCCCTTTAAAAGGCGGAGAAGGCGAATGTGTGCAGGATCCACTCCGTAACGGAGAAGGAGACCCCAAGCACTGTGGAGGTGGGTCTCTCTATGGACTTGAAACGGTCCAGGGAGCTGGCAGGTGAGAAGGGTACTTCATCGTTGCTCACATGCAAACCGATAAAGATGTTGTTTTCACGCTGTCAAAGTGCATTTCGCGATGCTGTTTCACTGCGCTACGGTTGGCCTCAGAAGAGATTGCTCTTGACTTGCAGCTGCGGAAAATCATTCACTGTGGCGCATGCTCTCTCCTGCTCAACAGGCGGCTACCCTAGCCTCCGCCACAACGAGGTGCGCGACCTCACAGCACCCATCATGAAGGAAGTCGAGCACCAAGCTGTGTTGGAGCCGCTGACAGGTGAGAGGGTGGCACTACGGCCGGCTTCAACCGAAGACAACGCCCTCCTGGACATCGGTGCCAGTGGAGTCTAGGGAGGTCGGTATGGGCGATCATACTTTGATGTCCGGGTATTCAACCCCCATGCCCCCGCCAATGCAAAGTTTGCCTTGCCAGCCGTGTACAAGCGACACGAGCAGGAGAAGCGTCGCCGCTACGAGGAATGAATTACCAATGTCGAGCATGCCTCCTTCTCACCAGTTGCCCTGTCCTGCACTGGAGGGTATGGCAAAGCTGCGACGGCACTCTATGCTCGGCTGGCATCGATGCTCGTCGACACGAAGCAGGAGCCGTATTCTGCCACCATTTCCTACATCCGCTGCAAGCTCAGCTTTGCCCTCATCCGTGCTGCTGTTGCCAGTCTGCGAGGCCATCGGCACCGAGTATCTGCAGATGTAAATGACCCGGCCCGATTTCTTCAGATAAGCTTCTATTGAGTTAGTCAAATACCCAAAAAATAGTAAAAATTGCGTACTACAAACATACATATACGCGCGTTTCATTTTCTTTCTTTTCGTGTTGTGTTCTAATCCTTCATGGGATTGGGGTATTTCGTTTACCAGTAAAAGAGGCTTTATCGGGATTTTAAAATCTCTCAACATGATCCCTTACCCAGACCAAACAGTATGAACAGCCACGGTGCTCTCCAGTATCCGTAATGCAGGACAATGTACGCTCCTTTCAACTCCTCATAGTAGAAGAATGCGCTAACCATCATGACGAACAGCTGAGTTCGAAACCTGTTGCCTTTGTGGAAGAAAGTTGATATCCACACCAGTGGATTGCAGTTCATCGCCATAATTATCCGCTTGTTTTTCTCTCGCGGCACCACGATTATGTACCGTTTATCTACGTCAGTAACAGTACCGGTAACTGCAGAATGTATTGCAAAATGCCTACTTCTGGAAAGCTTTACCTTCCTACACTAGCACTATTGCCTGGCTACTAAACAATTATGTTCAATGGGAAGTGTGTGAAGAAATCAAAATCGCAACATGACCAGGTGACTAGTTCACGACAAGGATCCAAACGAGTCGAGAAATCAGGCAGCTGCTAACACACGGCCGGGTGAGATCAGTCATCCACAACACCGCATCTTTCTGTCTGGAAATTGGAATCACACTGTAAAAGTCTTGCAGCAGCACAAACAAATGAAGCCTTGTAATTATTGGAAAGCAAGAGCAAAGCCCGCGCGCACGTGTTGTGGTTTCAAACGACAGTTCTCTACGTCATCATGTACATGTATTGTCTTGCAACTATTTTTTGCCTCATCATTTTTTCGAGCGAAAATCACCAGTCTTGAGAAGGTCCTGGCCAGGATCGAGAAAGCAAGCTGAATCCCTCATACCTCCATCAATTTTTCTGATCATTCATCCTCTCTACTTAACATCTGTGGGTCTGTCAAAGCCTTAGGCTTAGCTATTCACTATGGAAGACCAGGAGATTGCCACTCAGCAGACAATACCTGCCGCCGAGTTTGTTGTGAGTTTCTTTGGTGAATTTTGACCTTTTTTAGTGGGTATATCTGGTCTTTTCATGGCTTACATATACTAGTACTTTATGAGCGTGCATAATGTACATTGCTGAAACTTGTAAATTGAACTCAAAGCGCTTGATCAAATAACCAATCGCCAGCTGTATAAAAAACTGCGCGTATTTTGGTGGGTCATGGTGTTTATTTCTGTCATGCACAATGTACTGGTGCTAGTGGTAGTATCAAGATCAATACTGAACCTACGGTTGCAATGCTGAATACGTAGCATTTAGGACTGAAATGATTGTTGGTTTACCTATCGATCACATGTACTCGATTATGATTGTTTGCAATCAGTTTCAGGTCTGTGTGGGGAAAGTACTCATTTTCCTAAGGTATGACAGAATTTCTTAGGAAATGGAGTACTTTTCCGTACACATTGTGTACATAGGTCCACCAAAATATGTATTAGTGAAAGTAGTTCAAAAACACACCTCGGAACACAATCCTTACCACTGGTACCTACATCACCAAGACTAGCAAGAGTACATAAGCTTTCCCAAGAGTGGGCAGCTGCATACTAGTAGTCCAGTATGATCGGGTGCCAAAGAACGCAGGAGCTCAGAGCGCAGCCTAGCATTGTTCTAAAAATGCTGAAATGTCAGTCGATTTGTTCTTATTCATGGAGAGCACCATACGATGCGATCACACCACGCGGAAAACATGCAGTAAGAGTTGGTTCACATAAGCCAAATCGGCGCCGGGAAGCACCGGCGGTGAGCCAGCTCCCGATCCGTTGCGCGTACGGTCCGAGTACCAAATCTACTACAAAGTAGTACAGACTATGCCCAAATGCTACGTCAGTTTTTATTGCAGTCTAGTAAGCAATGGTGTCGAAATTATGCATGCAAACATTGATGAAGTCACAGAAGGTGTAGAAGTAGTTTCATGATCTCCAGTAAAAGGTAGCACCGAGTGGCCATCACCGAAAGACCTTGAACTACTGAAGAAACAGAATCAAGCTTCAATTGGCAAACCTGTCATAGCATTTGGGCACATTCTGTACTACTTTTGCACTTAGTTCGTAGTAGATTTGGTACGGATCGGGAGCTGGCTCACCGCTGGTGCTTCCCGGCGCCGATTTGGCTTATGTGAATCAACCCTAAGTGTTCTTCGGCACCCGTTCTTACTGTACTCACGGTAGAATCTGATTAAAACTTCGCAAGGGGTCTTTCCGCTGCATGTATGGATGCATAATCTCTAACGAGTAATCTACAGCGTAACAATTGGCTGATCGGTAGGAACTGCCGATCGATAAAATGAGTAATCAGTACAATAATTGTTTCAGCCCTGGTAAATTCTGAGAGAAGAATGCCTGAGATCCTATTCACCACTGTAACAAGGTGATATACAGTCAGAAAGTGCACTAACTTGGCACAAAACTGACGGAGTACTCTCTTTTGGGTTTTTCTTTACCTTGAACCTTCCAAGCTCCAGTATTGGAAGGCTGCTGGTCTGTACACAGGAGATATGTTTGGAACTAAGTATGTGCTCGGTCATTTGAATAATGTCGCAGTTCTTCAGTACTCTGTCAGCGCTGTATTCGCACTTTTGACTGTATATGATCTTGCTACTTCGAAGTACATCGGTGCACAAATCCTCGTAACTCGCATCTAAATATCCCCCTCCCTCTCTATTCATTTGTTTGGGCCAGCTTTCGAGTACGATGGAAATAATTCTGAGAATAACATTGTGGGAAAGGTTTACGGGAATCTGCTAGTTCCCTTTACAATAGCAAGACCGTGCATGTGCCTACAATTTCAGGCTCTCCAAACATGATACATGTACTTGTCCGCACGTTATGTGACCAGTCGAATGCTTTAAGGTGAAGTACAGTCTAAGGTGACTCGGCTGCCCTCTGCGACTGTCGGATGGATGCCTGCAGGCTTTTGTCAAGCATGCAACCCTTTTCTTTTCAATTTATTTTCCACTTCCTAACGGAATGTTGCTTGACGACATTGTTTGCGTTTCACAGGAGGATGTGGATGCATTCATGAAGAAAGCAAACAATCCCGCGCCGGAAACAATTCTGAAGCGACTTGAGGAGAACCTGAACAAGTATCGGTACCTACAGTCCAACCTCACCCAGAAAAAGAGAAGGTATAATGTTAGATTGCCTATGCCTGATTGTTTAGCAAGCTGTGTGGTGTTGTTCATTCTCCTTGTGTTAGCGATGGTGTTCTGCTGTGGCGGTAGCAAGTACCATCCCCTAGTCAGCCATGCATGCCTATGCCTGATTGTTTAGCAAGCTGTGTGGTGTCGTCCATTCTCCTTGTGTTAGCGATGGTGTTCTGCTGTGGCGGTAGCAAGTACCATCCCCTAGTCAGCTATGCATGCCAATGCCCATGTACATGTAGGATATCTGGCATGTTATTGCACGGGCACCGCATCACTATGGGCAACCCATGCTCGTACTCTAACCCCAACACCCTGGTACCAAGCCCCCCTCCCCCCCCCCCCCCCCCCCCCATCAATTGTTTGCATCCTGTTGGCCATGTTGGTTGCACTGTCCACCTGCCATGCATACCGTAAAACATGTAATTTTAGGTGCATTAAAATTTCGGTGCCAGAGACCTGCCAGGTTTCAGGTGTAATATAGAATTAGGTGACCAGCGTTCCCTTCACATACAGTGCATACTCTACATGTAGTGCCTTTTTAGGTGTAATTTAAATTCAGGTGCCTGGTCTCTTTACCAAAATTAAAGTTACACCGAAAATGGCATGTTTTACAGTACTTATCCACCTGCCGTGCATACTTGTACTTGTCCACCAAATGCAGCAGTCATATGACAAAATACGTGAAACTATTCTCTTGGAGTGCACTATTGGCAATTCCACGCTGCTGCATCGATATTATCTGATGTTGACAATAGAAATGCACTGGATTCTAGAATCTTCTCTGGAATGATATCCACTGATTGTATCTCATGCTAGTGTCCTTCTGCACCGCCCATTTTGGTTGAGAAGAATTCGTCCTGTCATTGCTCATCTGTGTGTGTGTGTGGCTGTGTGACTGTGTGACTGTGTGTGTGTTTTAGGTTAAAGGCACAAATCCCCGAGATTTCCACGTCTCTGGAGCTGCTGCAACACTTGCAAAAGAAATCGGTAAGCTATTCTCGTGTGTACAGCCAGGTGTATAATTATGTGTACAACAAGGGTACATGCGTATATGCATGTGTACGTGCATGTTTGTATATGCATGTATACGTGCATGTTTGTATGTGCATGTGTGGATAATGTACCTATACTGTAGTGTCACGAATAAAAGCATGACTTGTATAGAACACGGCTGTTCGCGCATGGACATCTAACAATATGGAGTCGTTCGGTGCGATTTACGTAACGCGGTACAAACCTCATGAATACGATGGGAGTTTGCGTTTTGGGATGAAACTCATGTCACTCTCCGTGTGGTTCCACGATTTCGCAAGTCAAACCAGGATTTATTATTTGAAAGCGCTCGAGCGAGATACTCAATATCCAGACAATTTGAGAGAGAAGGAAGGTAAAAGGAACTCCTGCCATGGTCAACCAGCATCCTGACCTTTTCGAACCTCTCCAAGCTATCCCCGGTAGTCTGGATATTGACGCACGCACTGATTTTCAGCTTCTCGTCGGGATCACGGGTGCAACTTTCAAATTTGCCGATATGCACTCGAACAAACGCACAATTGGATCTACATCACAATTTCGGGGCTATCTGTGTGCTTGCTGCCTTTTTCAGCAATACCCCACATGTCTACTGGGCAGTTTCCACCAGGCCTCGGCCTCCTGGACTCAACATCGACTCCAGCACCATGCCATCTGTCCCCTAAATCGCATGAAAAGGTAGCTCAGCATCGCACGCACGGGACCTGAAGTTTGTGCACAGGACGTGATAAAACTTGGTGAAGATAGCCAAAAGATAGTCCCCTACCTGGGAAAACTGAAAGCTAGACTGGGAAAACTTCTGAAAGGGCTTCTTGAGGCAGGCATGTCAACGATGAATCAAGAAACGAGCGAGAAAGAAGGCTTGACTTGTGCAACGCGGAACAAACTGTTCCTGCGAGGAAGTTGGCCATGTGAGGTACCAGCAGAAAGCTAGTTTCAAGAGGAACACGGAATACCCGTTTTCCGGGTTAACCTGGCCTGGTAGCTTTCTAAATCGAGCGAAAATCGGCTGCTGAGAATTTGAAAATTCAAATTTCCTTGCCGATCCAGCCCAATCGAGACTTTTGGCTGCCATCTTGTTAAATGTCCAAATTTCGCGAAAAAAACAGCCGTGAGAAGCATGACTTGTATACAAACATGACTTGTATAGAAGCATGACTTGTATAGAAGCCGATTATTCTAAGCCCGTCGTGACACAGAAGCACGATTTGAATAGAAGCCGCTCTCTGCAAGGTACACGTGCAAGTGCGTGCGTGGCAGTATGCACTGCACAGTGTAGACTGATGATGTTGACGTAGAAGCATAACTTGAATAGAAGCATGGTTCGAAACCCGGCTTATACGGCCGTAAGCACCTGCTTTTATACGCGACATTACGGTATGTGTGCGTGTGTGTGTGTGTGTGTGTGTGTGTGTGTGTGTGTGTGTGTGTGTGTGTGTGTGTGTGTGCGTGGTTTCACTCCATGCTATGCTGTGCATCTGATATGGCCGGACGCCTGCTGGTTGTTTGTTGATCCTCCATAACTGCAGTCATGTAGATGTTGTTCCTGGTCATCATGACTCAGCTTGAAGCACTCCCGCTTTCTTTTCCATCAATATTGCACGTGACGTTCATGTCATGTGTGTGCCGTTCATGTCATGTGTCTGTGTTTGTGTGTAAGTGTGTACACATGTGTGTAAGTGTGTACACATGTGTGTAAGTGTGTATACATGTGTGTAAGTGTGTACACATGTGTGTAAGTGTGTATACATGTGTGTAAGTGTGTACACACTTACACACATGTATATGTATATAGGAAGAAAACTAAATTTGTTGTTACTCGCTCGTGCTGCCACAACTCGCTCAAAGTATGTGTGCGTGTATTTGTACTTGATGTGGATGTATGTGCTCAGGATGACACCACTCCCATGGAGACTAGATTCATGCTGTCAGACCAAGTCTACGCCAAGGCTGAAGTATTGCCAACGAAAACTGTCGGAGTTTGGCTTGGTGTAAGTGCAATGTACTGTAAACATCTATTTATTTGGAGCAAGCTTGTTTATATTTATGTTGCTATTACCGTAAAGTACCGTTGATCCCCCCCCCCCCCCCCCCCCCACATACACACACTATGTCGCTTCCCAGCTGGTTTTTCAGCAGAGGTCAGGAATTAGATCAAGTCGTTCAAGTGCAGTACGATGTACAACAAAGCGGAAGATCAGACTTGGCATGCTGCATTGTGGACATTTTCATCCTTCACAGGCACGTATCGTGTACAGCGGTATATGCGTCGGTTCAACATCGTATTTCGTTGTATACGCCGACGTTGCTTCACGAGCAGCAATTCGACAGGGGACGGAAATTAGAGCAGGGGTGGATGAACGGTACTTTACGGTAGTAATAGTATAATGATGTTCCCCCCGATTGCAATCAAGTAAGTATGATATGCTGGCTTTGACCTTATGCTTCTTGGCTTGTTGTTGGCTGTTGTGCTGTGTGTGTGTGTGTGCTGTGTGTGTGTGTGTGTGTGTGTGTGTGTGTGTGTGTGTGTGTGTGTGTGTGTGTGTGTGTGTGTGTGTGTGTGTGTGTGTGTGTGTGTGTGTGTGTGTGTGTGTGTGTGTGTGTGTGTGTGTGTGTGTGTGTGTGTGTGTGTGTGTGTGTGTGTGTGTGTGTGTGTGTGTGTGTGTGTGTGTGTGTGTGTGTGTGTGTGTGTGTGTGTGTGTGTGTGTGTGTGTGTGTGTGTGTGTGTGTGTGTGTGTGTGTGTGTGTGTGTGTGTGTGTGTGTGTGTGTGTGTGTGTGTGTGTGTGTGTGTGTGTGTGTGTGTGTGTGTGTGTGTGTGTGTGTGTGTGTGTGTGTGTGTGTGTGTGTGTGTGTGTGTGTGTGTGTGTGTGTGTGTGTGTGTGTGTGTGTGTGTGTGTGTGTGTGTGTGTGTGTGTGTGTGTGTGTGTGTGTGTGTGTGTGTGTGTGTGTGTGTGTGTGTGTGTGTGTGTGTGTGTGTGTGATCCATAGGCTAACACTATGGTTGAGTACTCGCTAGAGGATGCCCAGGCTCTGCTAGCCAGGAACCTAGCCACAGCACAGAAGAACCTAGCGCAGGTCAAGGAAGACTTGGGCTTCCTCCGCGACCAGTGTACGACGACGGAAGTCAGTATCCTCCTCCTTCTCTTCTTGCTGCTTCTGCTGCTGCAGTGGTGTGTAGCACAGTGTGCTGTGCCTTGTGTATTCAGTACAGTACTACTACTGTGCAGGGGATCATGTGTTTGCTACTTTGTGTACTATTTTCTGCACTTGGGCGAGACCAAAATAAAATCGAGATTCCCCGGCAGGACCCATGTGAAATTGGTGCGGGCTGGCGAATTTTATTTTTCATTTTTTTCCCATGTATGTACAGTTGTGGCAAGTGAAATCCAACGCTTGGCATAAGGGACTGCACCATGCAGTCTGCAGCCCCTGCAGCCCTGCATACGTACAGTACATGTGTTACATACAACTTTATCTGTCTGATAACAAAACTCGTACTCATCACAGTCAAGGTTCAAAAGGTGCTGGCAAAAATGAATGGGGATTGGATACCAATACTCCTTATGTGTACCATATTTGTGAACTGTGTGTATCTACGCTGTGACCTTTCGATCAGTTTGGGATGCATACGGCTCTATAGTACAAATTAGGTGCAGTGCATTACATCACTGATGTCCATTTGTGGCGCTGTCCCCTATGGCAAGTGTCGGATTTCACTTGCCACAACTGTACATGATCATGACTACATGCAAGAGTACATAACCCCCCAGAGTGTGCAACGCCGATCCAGCTCTGTGTAGGGTCTTGGTCGAGCGGAATCGGATCTTCTGATGTCATGCGTACACTTTACACCAGCGCAAGGCCGGTCTCGAGGCAGGGCACCATTGGACTCCCCGGGTTCCCCTCAGATGTGTACGGTATTATGACGCAAAGATCCGATTCCGCTCGACCAAGACCCTATGCAGAGCTGGATCAGGCGTTGCACACTCTGGGGGGTTATGTACTCTTGCTACATGTGTGCATGCCGTGTTGACCTTTTTTACAGCATTTTCCGGTAATTTGTATTCAATATTTTACAGACAACAGGTACGCGGTTTACCCGTTCAATTTTTCTATATTTCGGCCAACGATGGCCCTGATCTGTACATCAGGGAGTCGTACAAACTCAGGTTTGTGTGACTCCACGTCACAGATCTACTCACACGATCAGTACTGTACATGTATGAACTGTTCAAAAAAAAAAAAAAGCTTTGGCTTGATTTTGGTGCAGGAGGGCCCGGGAATCTCTATTTTTTGGTCTCGCCTTGTCTTGTCTGTAGGTGTTTATGAATCATGTGCTGTGTCCTTGACTGACTCACCTATTAGGTGTCGCAAACAGCCTTTCCCGGCAGGTGTTCAAAGTTCAAACTTACACACAGCTTCCAGGGCTGCCACACTTGGAGGGAGAAAAATCTGACGGGGGTCCGGGGTGTCCGCCGTTGAATTTTTTTGGAAAAAGGCTTGCTGTTGGGGCCCCAGAACACTTTTTTAACTGTCCACACACATGCAAGCACGCGTGCATTTCACAGCTACATGTACATGTACATGTACAATAGAGAGGTTAAGATGCACGTTATTTCCGACGTGACGCGCAATTTCACGTCAAATTTGGCGTAAAACTCCAAGTTTCGACGTGAGCTGCAGGTCACTCGCGTTGATTTTCCACGTGCGAGCCAAATAACGCGAGCTGAACTTTCGCGTCACGTCGGAAATGACGTGCATCTTAACCTCTCTAATGACCGGACAAACGCGACCTGGAAGCGCCGAATGGCCAACTGGACTAAAAAGCACTCAAAATAAAATAATCGGTTGTCCCTCTTTGGGAACAAAATCGGTCGGTTTGTCCGACAGGCGATCAAAGATTTCCGAAAAATCGGAGCAAGTGGCAGCCCTGAGCGTCATACTTTCTTTCTTCTCCCTGTGAGAATATTTTAGAATTAAAATTATTTACTATGCAGTGATCATTTAGTGTAGAGTACCTTGGAATGCTTGGATATAGCATGCCTTTCAGTCTCTTTGGATCAGATCCATAAAGTACTTTTTGAGGACCCTGCTTGTTCATTCCCTGTCATTTGACTTTGAATGGACATTAGATGCCGGATACTTTAGCGAGAAAGTGCGGATTGTCAAGATCCATTGGACTTGGATGGACATGTAGATGTGTTATAGTGATGTATCTTTGCGTCAGTTTAAACTTGGGGGTATTGGCAAATGATGCATATGTGTTTTTAGGGGTTTTGACTAGCACGCATTAGTCTCCATGCTGGCAATTGTTACTTGCCTTGACTTGCGTTCTACTCTTCCACTAGACATGGCTAGGGTGTACAATTGGCATGTATCCAAGCGTCGCGACCAGCAGCGCAGTTGAGAAAGGCGATAGCTCTCATTCAGCTCACTCGCAGTGTGTGCATTGGCCAACAGCAGGGTCGACCAGCGGTATAGTAGTGCTAATGTGGATACATGGCACGGAGCCGTCAAGCAAGTGATGCGTGTGTGTGTGTGTGCGTGTGTGTGTCTGACATAGTGTGCATGCACCGGCTTTGATTCGTGCTGGTGGCACGTGCCTCTTGGCCACTGTTGCTCCAGTTTCGTTTGAGTGTCCAGCAGCGAGTCGTGTGCGGGTCAGTAATGGCCTACTGAACAATGCTCCAGCAGTGGTGTTCATTATTGCCCGGTTACTGCTACTACTCCTGCTACTCCTGCATACCACCCCACCGCACACCACAGTATCAGCCACAGTATGTTTTTACCATCGTTGCAAAGCAGTGCAAACTCTATCTTGAGCTCTATGTCAATGGCAATAGCTACAGACCACTTCTCACACTCATTATTTGTTCTTATTCTCAGAACTTCTAAATTTCTTTTCATTGTGAATTGTGGTCATCACTGATGGGTACTTGACGTCGTACACTGTCATGTAGCTACGTTTGATGTGTGTGTGTGTGTCTGTATGTATGTGTGAGTGTGTGTGGGTGTGTGTGGGTGTGGGTGTGTGTGTGTGTGGGGGGGGGGGGGGGGGGGGGGGTGTGGATTGGTACATTTGCGTGTCTCAATGGCCGCAAGTATACCCAGGGTTTGATAGCGATGAGTCTCTGGATCATGAAAACTTTGTTGCGCGGGCTGCATACATTGTATGTTTATGTGGCCAAATCATCGGAAAGACGAGAAAGGGGCTGGTAGGTGGGGTAGTAAAACATTTACTGATGTTTTATTGCTCCATGCGACTTGTCCAAGCTGGTGAGTAGATCTACTATTGGCTGCAACTATTGGCAAGAGTTCATAGAGGCTATTACCAATGGCCTGAGCTGAGAGTGATGAATGTGGCACGTTTTCATGCACAGGTGGCCCTGCTTGTCCGTGGCCACGTGGGTGCATAATATCAAGAGTACATAAACCTTTTTTTTTTGTACACTTGATAATATCAAGAGTGCATCAACATACGTGTAATCTTGATATTAAATATTCATAGACTCATTCGCGATTTTCAGTGCATTCCGGGTTTTCTCAGGCTGTGTTTACATGAGAAATTTCAACCCGGGTCGAGTTCAGCCCGGGTTGAAAGTCTGTACGATAGACAAAAGAGGTGAGCGTTTACATGAAGACAGTTGACCCGGGTCAAATACTGATATGCCGCCAAAAGTCCACTTCTACAGTCCTCTATGGTCACGTGAATCCGTTCGCGCGAAATTTGCATGTGCAGTGCTGTTCAAACCTGGCGCGAGATACGCACAGAAGTACGTTTGTACGATTTTCTTGACCCGGGTTGGTTTCAACCCTCCCCTTGGGGGGAGGGTTGAAATCAACCCGGGGCGAAATTTCAACCCGGGTCAAGCGCAATGCGTCATGTAAACGCGCCATTCACTTTGTGCACATGGGGGGTTGAAATCTGACCCGGGTCGAACTCAACCCGGGTTGAAACGCCTCATGTAAACACAGCCTCAGGCTGCGTTTACACGACAACGCTGGGGGCGAAAACGCAACGAAATCCTTTCGGATCCATGGTTCATTTACACGGTACGCGGAGCAAAACGTAAAAGTTGTACACCAAAACGGAAGAAAACCAAAACGCTGGCCAAGGTGGAAGAATTTGAAAACGGAAATGTTCTGCCGGATAAATTTGGGTGTGTAAACAGTCGAAACGGTGTGCTGGCCTCGTTTTCCGTCACGTTTGTTTCGTTTTCGGCCGTTTACACGGATCCGACAATCCAAAAAATTGTTTTTACAATTTTCGTCATGTGATGTGGGTTGTCACATGTGCCTGTTTTCAACCATTACTTGAGTGTGATTGGTGCTTCCACGGCAACACTTGGCACATGACGAACTTTGGCGGATCCTTTGCTCTCGTGTAGACGCTTGAAAACGGTACAAACGGAGACCACCTCGGATCGGCTTTGATCGTGTAAACGTACGAAAACGAAAAAAGAAATGCGGGACTGAAAACGGAAAACTGGCCGTGCGTTGTCGTGTAAACGCAGCCTCAGTCACTATTGTCTGGTCTGGGGTTGAACTTTGATGTGCACCTGCCAGAGTCGTACAAACCTACACACGATCGTACAAACGTTTAAACCCATACCAAACCCGGGTTTGTACGACTCTGTCACTCACACAACCGCAACATCAAAAAAAATCCCCAGTCCTACCTACAAAATGGACTTTGAATTCGAAACGTCTGGATTTTGGACTTGCTTCTCCATACATTTTGCCACGGTATAGCTGTCCTAATCGTGTAAAACCTGGCCGAAGTTCTAACTCCCACTGATGGGACTTTTCCGGCCTGAACATGTGGCAAGGAAGTCAACCACGCAGGCCGCGTACAGTTCTTTTCACCATATCCACCAAAAAGAGAGTGCCAGTTTTGGACAAGCGGTACTCGGGCACTGGGCTGCACCAGGCAAGTCGCTTTTGGCTATGCGGACAGGTTAGGTTTGTTGATTATTCTGACCAAGGCGGACTGGGTTCATTCGTGCAAGTAGGTTGTGGATTAGAAAGTAGTGAGGAGCCAGTCAGTGCGGAACACTTGACCCTGGACAGCAGCGGCCAAACTAAATTTGAGCCAACATAGTCTTGCCAGTTGACTGTGCATGAGAAATTCTATTTTGTTGACTTCTGGAGGAATTCAGTGGTTTGATTCAAGCAACACTTCCGTCGCTTTTAGTAAAGATTGGACTGACCTGTCGAAACGGACCTACGGACCTGTTTTCCAGTACCGGCGTGATCTCTTCCCGTTTGCTGCTGCTTATTGGTGTTTTTACCCGGAGTACTGTTCCATCGTGGTTCCCCTGGATCAATTTTCCAGTTGTGTTGTGTCGGTCAAGGAAGTATCATACCTTGCTTGCATGGTGTGCTGCTTATAAGTTACCGAGGCCGAGGGCGCTTGGGCGCTCCTCCTGGCTTTGTGGCCGCCTGTGGCTTTCATGTGGACAAGCATAACCATTAGTGGAAGTGGTTTGAGGCAGTCCCATGCCGAACGATGGAGATGGCCCTTCTCTTCTCGGGCAGACGTTGGGACGGTGGTGGAGAGCAGCGTCATGACACGCCCTGCAAGGTATTGACTGCAGTCACTGCACTCTCACTGCATTATACTTGTACAATCATACATATGACTTGTGACTGTTGAACGATAGCTTGTATGTAGCGTATAAAATCATACTCCGGTGTACGAGTATTGCTCATGGCAAAAGTATATAACCCCCAGGTTACCAGGTTATGTACTCTTGCCCATATCAATACAATAATTATGCTATACACGATATCCATGGGGAGAGTTGGACTTCTGAAAACCTCCTGAGCTCTTGTCGCTCTGGTCCAGAGAAGTGCAGTCATGTACAGTACTAGAGCTGTCCTGATTTGCTTTTGTGCACACGTGACATTGTGCAGAGTTCAAGACCTTGCTGGGCGCCATGTCTGGAAAAGTGAATTCACCTGGATGATTTCACTTGTTTGTACATCGTATTTGTATTGCCATTGGTGTCGGATAATCGAGGAACTCGGATTAGTGAGCGTTGGATTAGATGCGACTGAGCCAGATGAATTTGACTCTCTTCGTTACAAGGTGTAACGAATTGTGCCTTGACATTGCATGCAATGCCTGTGCAGTGCGGGCCGCATTTCGGGGCTGCACACCATACACAATGAAACCTGTACCTGTGTAAGGTGACCGCTCAAGGGATCTTCCCAACGTGGTCCCCATGTACAGGCGGTCACCTTATCCTGGGTCGTTTGATTGGAAATGTAAAATCCCTTGGTCCTACTCGAAGTAGTTGTAGTGCTCGCCTTATCCGAGTGGTCACCTAACCCTTTAAGGTTAGGTGACCACTCGGATAAGGCGACCACCAAATAGGTTCCACTGTACTTTCTTGTATTTCCCTCAGCCAGGTCATAATTACGAGTCGTATAGCCTAGGATTGATGCATAGTGTTTAATGTAAGCACAGCGTACAGTGCTGCTCGATGAAATCCCATCACGCAAGTCAATGTGACGCCGAGCGCTGTGCAGCCCTGGGCCTGTCAACACTGGGCTAGTACAGGGCACACGCTTGACTCACGTGATCGTGTTGCATTGAGCAGCACTGTACATGCATAATGGGTTGTACAGAACTCGTGCAACAAAGCCGTATGCATACGAGCAGGTCGACGAGCCACAGCCTATCAGGTACAGTAGAGTCGCGCTCTGAAGAACATGAAGCCCCAGAACCCTCGGCCTGAAATACTAAGAACGTCAGCCTAAGTTTGGATTTTGCGAAGTAAAAACAAAGTCAAAAAAGTTTATCAATTGCGGTATGCTCTATTGGAATAGGGTATACAACTTTGCATGTACATATGTGCGTTGATAATGTGCATATCCAATCCAGAACAACATGCGTCTATTGAGAACGTAAAAGCCAGATTGTTGAAAAGTAAGAACGTCCCAGGCTGACCTTTGGAAACGACCTTTGCTACAGGATTCTACTGTACACATGAGTAGAATCCAGTAGCCATCCATATTTGAGAGCACTCTTGTCCTACACCTCTCAACACAGAGCGTTTACACATTTACGTGATGAGTACGAGTACATGTACTACGCGTATACGATGGACTGATACAAGTTGTATGCACCACATGTACAGTATTAGAGAGGTTCCGCACTACGTAAAGTTGAGCAACTTTACGTTAGTGGGCGGAAAAAACCCGTGAATTCGCGAGTTTGCACTCCACTTACGGAAAGTTGTCTACGGAGAGTACGTAGATAGGGCTCTGATAACGTAGCTGGTCCGTAAGTGGATTGGGGTACAAATTTATGACTCTCTCCCCAGGTCGATCTGGTCGTACACTGCCGCGTTCAGAGTTGCCAAGGGCAGCTACGTGATTTGAAAACTCCATATGGCGGAACCCAGATGTGCATGAAGTTTACGTAAGACTTTCCGTAGATCGACTACGTTTTTTACTAACGTAATTACGTTATGCGGAACCTCTCTACTATGTACACAGAGTTGCAGGACCTGGTGCTGCACACTGTGTGGTGCGGTACTCTTATGGCAAGTGTCAACTTCCAGCTGACAACTGCATCTTTCTTCTCTTTGTTGACCATAGATGCGCTCTTTTGCCGCTTTTTTGTTTTGTTTCGTAGGTCACGGCAGCCTGTCTGCTGATCTCTCTCATCTGTCTAGTGTGCCCTGCTCAACCTGCATCCTTACCAGAAGTGACAGGTAAGCTTGAGACCGGAAATCACAAGGTCCTGCGCTCATGTGCAGTAGGTCCGTGATCTTCTGTTTTGGTGCACATTTGGACCGGAGAATGGCATCCATGTTTAGTGGCAGCGTGGCGCTAATATAGGATAGCAATTAGAGGTGAAACGGTTCGGGTTAGGAACCGGCTTTGGAACCGCCAGCTGAAAAGACTCGGGCACCCGTTCCGTCGAATTTCGAACCAAAACTCGAAAAATCTCGTTCTTGTACAAATACATGTACACGTCAAGTCTACTCAAGATTTAAAATAGCTTACCTTACGATCCCCGCTCTTCCAAAGAGTTCTCTGGTCATGATCTTCTTCGCACTTGGACTCTCCGATGTCTTGTTCTTGCTCGTAAAAATGTTTTTTTTCTAAAAAATAATTGTCGCGAGCGCATTTTGTCGGTGTGGAGAAAAGAGTGCATGGAACCGATACCCGAATCGTGGGAAACAATGCTGGCATCAGGGTACCCGAACATGAAAAACATGGAACCATTTCACCCCTGATAGCAATGCTTTGACTGCTGTGCTCCAGTGAGGTGGTACCACTGCAGACCCAGCTACCTAAACACACACATTTCGTTTTTAGTAGGAATCGGAGAATCGTCTCTCCGGTGAGAAGGCAGGACACTCATAAGTCGGTTATCCGGACCCCGAATTTACGGGCACTTCGGTCTACCAGGCAAACTTTGGGCGAGTTTCAGTGGAAATATTAGTTCTCTTTTGTCACTTTTGTGGACAAAGTGACGTCATGTGCCATATCTCTGGCCTTTCCCCGTCAAAATGTATGTGATTCGGAGTTACGGATATTTCAAAGTAACGGGCAGTGTTGGGTCCCGGACCGCCCGGATAAACAAGGTGTGAGTGTACTGCCTATGTCCTGAGCGAAATTGAAATATCAGAACACAGCAACACAGCAACACTGTACTTCTTCCATCAACTAAAACGTGGCATGTTTTCTGTACAGTGATGGCTCACACCGAACCAAGTTTTAGTTTGCCGAAGAAGATAGTTTTAACATTCAAACCAGGTTGCGATGTGAGGTGTTAGTAGATGAAATGTCTTGTGAATTGTCACCCACAGCACTGCCTTCCTGCGCCCGTGTTCGAAGTGTAGTATGGATGAGACATGATGATGATGGTGTGTGTGTCTGTGTGTGTGTGCGCGTGTGTGTGTGTGTGCGCGTGTGTGTGTGCACGCGTGTGTGTGTATGTGTGTGCCTGTAACGTTACATGCCGGTGTGCTTGTGCGCGTGTTCACTCATTGTTTAGAATGTGATGGCTCGCTATATGCGTTATCCAACTCCACATCAACGTACTTGTCAGCACGTCAAGATTGCTTGACTCGTGAGGGCAGCTGGTCACTGGCCATAGTACCCACTGGCGTGCAGCAGTCCTGCTTACACCGCCTTTCCACCGGTAGAACCATCTGGCTGGGCCTGAAGACCATGAACTCTCGCTCCATATGGGAAGGTGACACGGCGCTGTTGCTTAGCAACTATGTGACCAGTCAGCGGCCCAGCAACCATTGCACTGTGCTGAACACTAGCTATGCGCTGACCGAGCCAAACTGGATCGTCAGTGCGTGCTCAGAAAGACATTCATTTTTCTGTCAGCGGCCAGCATCCACTGCACAGGGTAAGTTGTACACGTTAGCTTCGCTGTGGACGCCATGTTCATGCGTGTATAGAGACAATGACGTTTGCTAATTTCTGGTCAGAAAACAGCCATTCACGTGGAGAAGACAACTTGATAAAAGTGGAAGGCTACCTGGTAGTGTAGCATTGCTTGTGGTAGGTCACTGCAGCCAGGTACATCTGGCAGGTCACTGCAGCCAGGTACATCTATGTCATGTACCCCTTAGTTTGCTCCGTCTCTGACGAAGTCACTGCTCATTTTCACCCCTTACAACGCAGATACTCCTGGTCCTCCAAGACAACATCCACTGCTGTAAACTTGCCGATAGGCCATGGGGTACCAACGGCCCAGGAAAACAATGTGCTAGTTCTTTGCCTGAGGCTATCCAGAATGCAGCATGGAGAAAGTACAGCGCAATCGTGTACTCTTTGTTCCTCTGCTGTGTCTCCCTGTGTCTTAATAGATGATATGCCAAATAACGTGCAACTAGACTTGTGAGGGCATTGCAGAGCAGCTCAGGGCATATCCTGTACACATATATAGTCAACTTCGCTTATTATTACACTCGGCGGGGCTTCAGAAAAGTGTCCTTATTCGCGAAGTGTCGTTATACCCGAAGTCCCATTAGATGTGTTACAGTTGGATGGGACTTTGCCCTGGGCATGAAAATTCTGTCGTTATCCGCAGTCGACTGTGATTGGTATGCAACTGGTGTACAATGCCGTCCCAGGTCTAGTTGCACGTTATTTGGCATAATTATGCTCTATTGGTCTGAACACCCCCATGGCACAGAGTTGTTGCTGTAGGGTCCTGACGGGATTAGAGGCAGCATGAATGACAATGCACGCAAGCTTGAGAACTGCTTCCCCAATGGTAGGGCTTTTGTTTGAGTCGGCTCAGGCGCAATGGCGGGATCTTTTGTTCCGTGCCTTTCAATGTCCGCTGTATGCCAGCAGAACATCCCCATGTCATGTACTGTCAATGAAATGTCAGGTGAAGATTATTTTAATCCACTAAGGCATGTGTGATATCTATTCTGGTACTCGCACGTGTCTTGGGTCGATTTGGCATGCTGCTCGGCAGCCCATTGCAACTGCCTCATTGTCCTGAAATAATTCATCTCTGGCATGAATAAAGCATTGTCGTGTGTGTGTGTGTGTGTGTGTGTGTGTGTTTGCAGATAAGAGCAGTCAGTTTGACCTATCCAATGCGTACTCGGTGGTGCTGGTCTGCGGCTCGGCGTTCTTCCTGTTGCTCTGCCTGGTTCTGTGCGCCTGGCTGTGCCTGATCAAGTCACGTACGGCCGTCATGTCTCCGCAGGGCCCGCGCCATGAGAGAATGCCATCGACTGTGCTAGAGGACCTAGCTGTTCCTCAGAAGACAGGCGGTGTATCAGTGGTGGTACGAAAGCAGACAGTAGCAGAACAGTGGTCGGAGCCAAAGTCATCGTCAGATAGCAGCCCCAAGGAGCAAGACGACCCACCAGCAGAGCCCAGTGAAGATGCTGAATATGTAATGGGTGATTGGGAGGAAACACCATTCTACCGCCATCAGAGCCAGACAAGTGAGAATAGCAGTCCTCAAAAAGACAGGACGGCTCGCACCCGGTCTGTAGATAATCCTCCAAAGTCCATTCCAAACACTTACGACAACCTGAGTCCAACAGTTGGTTCTTGCCAGTCCACGCCCTGTGTGGCGTCGCAAACTGCTCCCACTCAGAGTATGTTGACGTTAGTCAAAGTCAAGGATGATGACATTATCATCGCACCCAAGTCAGCACAAGCACAGGAAACTAGCGGCCGGGTGTTCTTTGGCAGCAACACCCGATGTGACTCAGCACCAGCTGCTCCAGACTTGAACACAGAGTCATCATCAGGCCAAATGTTCAGCAATCATTCTAGACTTCTGAGTACCGGTACTGACGATGCCTTCCATGCTGGTTCTTTGTCGGAGCTGGACGAGACCAGGAATGGCTTCAACAGTCTTGCCGGCCGCCATCAATGGCAGGACAGGAGAAGTAGTGCTGACAAGGGCAATGCCTTCCACTTCCCCATTGATGAAGACGATCCAGCGGCATCGCCGTCGTTACAACAACAGCAACAACATATGCACCAGCAACGTCTCAGCTTAGACGCAGAGAACGTGAGAGACGCAGGCCGCGCGTGTGTTGATCTTCCGCCCAAGTCACCGAAATCCATTACATCATCAGTGCAATTGCATGACGATATCGTAGCGGATGCACATGGGACTGATACTGCTCCGCTTGACACTATCCCATCTGGCCATTCAGTTGAACCATCACAGTCTGCCAGGGCTATTCTTCTCACGGAGGCAACACTGGCTCTGGATAGTTTGAACGAGCAGCTGGATATCTTCTGCCAGGACGCCAGTTTAGATAGTGCGTCGATTAGCAGTCTACCCGCTGTTGCCACTGTGCTTACTACTGCATTGGAGGCTGGTACTCCCATGTCCAATGGTCCAACCACTGTGGGTGTCGCCAGTGAGGCTGATTGTGACTTTGAGGATGCATTTGCAGTCCTGGACCAGCTGGATAGAACCCTAGATGATCTGCTGGACTAGTGTGGCTGCTGTGTCTTTACAGCAACAGCCTTGCTGCTGAGCCTTGTTAACCATGCTGGTGTGCAGTTGCTTGGCTCACCATATTGTAGAGCCTAATACTGCTAGAATGTACTGTACACCACCGCAGCTCTTCTAACCCTTGTGCTCGGTAAAGAGTGTGTTTTTTACCCCTGTGAATCTTTCTGTAAGCATGTGTCTAGGTGGGGTGGGACTGTGTATGCAACTGTTTGTCTCCCATCCTCCTCATCATAATACTTCGGCAGTGATACTTTCTCACCAGCTGTGCTTTTTGCAGCTACCTGTCCTCATGCTTCATACGGAATACCTGAGCCCCCGCCCAATACTTGAACTGCCACGCTCTTGAAAATACGATGCTCTTTGTCTTTTACAAATTAGTAAATTTAGGCACGCTATATCTCATGTCGCATACTACTAGTTAATTAATACTTTCGCAGTTTTTTTCCTCAGTATACACAGCTCAGTACGATGTTGCCTGGCCTGTAACACTGAGCTCAATCTAGCAACAGCTCCCTTCTTCGCTCTCTTAGTTTTGTTTCTGCTTTCTGCCCGTTTCTCAAGAGCAGTACAGAAGAGCATTTCGTTTCTATGATACCAACAATCTATAGTATTAATGCTGTCGTTTCTTATAATAACGTTCTGTTATATCTTCTCGCATCAGGTTTTACTGCTTTGATGTGCTATTGGGGTTATAGACCTCCACTCAACCGCTGTTACTTGTATTTATAGTTCCTGTTCGTTCTGTGTTCTCTTGTCGCACGAGCGTACTGTTGCTCTAGGCCGCGATCTCTCGTTACGGACATGGGTGTACACGTCTCGTTTCTTGTCCAAGTGATATCCTGTCCGTGCACAGCCCTGACGGAAATGCAGCTTCAAAACTTTCAATAGGAGTCTCGCCGGTTCCTATTGCCAAGAGTTACCACCATTGTACTCTCGTTAGGTACTCGACTCTCGCTATTAAAGCTGTACTGTACACTCATACCTCGGATATCCGGACCCTGAAGTTCCGGGCACTTTGGTATCTCGGGCACCCTTTGGGCGAGTTTCAGTGGAAATATTACTACTCCTTTGTCACTTTTAGTTGAAATAGTGACGTCACACTTCAGAAGTACATGTATGTCATATCTATAGCATTTCCCCATCTAAACGTATGTGATTCGGAGTTATGGACATTTCAAAGTTACGGGCAGTGCTTGGTCCTGGACCGCCTGGATAACCAAGGTAGCGAGTATGCGTGTAGCTAGATCGTTGCCACAGCCATGCACTTGCAGTCTCATGACTTCACTGTACAGCAGCAGATCTCATTCTCAGTTCACAGACGGTCCGAGTTCATCACTGTTCACATCAACTGCAGTTGCGGTCAAACAAATCCGACCCATGTAACGCACCGCCAAGGCTCCAGCGGCCCTTGGATGGCTTTTAGGACCGTGCATGATGTAGTCAAAATGTAAACGCGGCGCTGCTTTGACTCGCGGGCCGGATTTCTTTGGCCACGATTATACATGACTGTAATTATACATGTACTGCAATTGGTTGTTTGAAAAGCACCAGAGAGTCTTACAACTACTTCAAAGTACCAAACATGCAGATCAAAACAATGTCATGTTGTAGTCGATAGCTGCAGTTTTCGTCGAGCACACAAGCAAATTGAGCACACTCATTGTAAATAGAAAGCAGGGGAGTCGTATTGACGACTCCTTGATAGAAAGGTTATAGAGAACCAGTTCATAAAAACTTCAAATTAAAAAAGTACCGTAAATAACTAGAACACATAAAACTCAAGACAGCAAAAAGCATGCAGCGCAAGCATGGACCACTGAGCATGCATGCAGCACGCTGCGGCGATAGAAATAATGGGTTTTGTGCGAAAACAATCTTCATCAGTTGCAGGGGAACTTCATTTCATATTCACAATGCACACATGAAGATACTATCTACGCTTGTAAGAAGCAATCTCACTAATCACGGGTTTGGTTGATATATTTGCATGCTCGGGCACATGGTGCATAAAGTCAGGATGTTGACCCGACAGGGCTGAATCAGGTCATGAACTGCGAGTAGTGCGTATATCACCGACGTATTATAGACTTCACAGATGATCAACAAATGCCTTGCCTGCCGGTTTGATAAGTCTACGGTAGGACACTTTCCACCTTGTCCCTGCTTTATCACAAACTCTGTAGGAATTGTGTGCCTGGACTGGCACCACTGGGCACTGGCACATCACTGGCACATCACTGGCACATCAGCGTAGAACACCGTTGGAGCATCACAGGCGAGACAAAGCACATAGTTTCACAGTAACGTTACATGTACATGTACAAGCAACGTTTTCGCTGAGCTCAGCTAGACCGTGTTGAAGGTGTTGTAGCTGTGCTGTCGGCCAGGCTGGCGCGGGACTGAGCCGTCAAGCGTCACGGCACGGACATCGCTTGTATCGTCGTCACTGTCACTTTCCTCTTCGTTGTCATCCGATGTCAGTGGCGAGCTAACTCGGACGTCCGAGCCATCAAAGCTCCCTTGCAGTACCGGAGCAACGTAGGAACCCTACGGGTGTACACGCAAGGACAACGAGTACATGTAGCTCGACATATGTGCACCCACTTAAAAGAACCCTGCAGAGAAAAGGCCACTGCTCAGGCGAAGCGCCAGCACCCCAAATCAAGACTTTTTTATTTTCCGTGGCGGGAAATCGAGCTTTTCCAGGTATCTACAGCCTGTAGAAATTCAACGCTGAGAATTTCCAACTATTGTCCGGCTTTGGTCCTCTGCCACCGACCTATCCTTTGAAGGAGAATGCTGAAACCAGTTGGTTGCTATTCAGTAGTTCTTTCTCTATCGTACACATATTTTTGTATGTCGACACATGCCGTGTGCGACGACGTAGACACTTCTCAACACTTGAGTGACTTGAATTTGGCCATGATGACCGAATGTCATTGGACCGTGGAGTCGAGTAGAGGGCTCAGGCTCGATCGGCACAACGGGTACGTATAGCACAAGGGTAGGGCTAATGATATATCAAGTTGTTTGCTGTGCACAACCTTGGGGCGGAATTCGGCACGAAATTCTCTGCTCGCCAACTGTTGAGTATACCATGCAATACGTAGGTTTAAACTCATGTTGCAGTGCTATCACGGTTGCAACCCTCTTTCAAATGTTGACATAGCCAACAACCACATAATCCATATCAAATCTTGCCCCTTGTTTTCTTTCTAAGTGTGAAAAATAGAAATAATACCAGTCCTAAATCATTGGAAAATGCAAATCACGGTCTATTATCGACACATCGTACTGTCGCGGACATGGAAAGCCAGTCGATTGACCGGGGCCGGCGCCCTCAGCGCGTACAGAACGTTGCATGCAGTGCACATGTTGATCCAATGCGACCATCAGCAGCGCATGATAAACCGTGCTACGGCTGCATGGCCAGCGCCCTGGGGCCGCTATCCGTGCGACCGGATTTCCATCTCCACGACAGTAGTACCATGCAGCCTGGTAGTGCATTTGGAGCAGGAAAGTGAATGGTAGCACTGCGGTGGTGAACACATGAGCTGATGACAACCATCGTCGTCTTGTTGGTTTGTGTTGTCTCCAGTTCATTGCAGGTTTAACGAGGAATGAACATCTACTCTTTCTTTCCAAAACTGGCTGGGCACACGCCAATGAGACGGAAGCTAGTGCCAAACCAGTCCTTGGAAGTTTTGTTGTGCTGCTGGACTTTCAATCATCATATAAAGTATGTTCCGGTTTCTGAGTCTTCGTGTGTGCCTGAAGAGCTACACTGTGTAGAGATGTTGGAAGTTTATCCTGCTCACGACACTGCACCAAGTACAAGCACTTCATCGGCACTGCCTGAGCCCTGTTCTGTGTTTACTGTGACCAGGAGAAGCAACTAGAAATTTGGAGCTTGAGCTGGAACGCTGGTGCTCTCTCTCTCTCTCTCTCTCTCTCTCTCTCTCTCTCTCTCTCTCTCTCTCTCTCTCTCTCTCTCTCTCTCTCTCTCTCTCTCTCTCTCTCTCTCTCTCTCTCCGTCACGTTCTGCCACTGTCCGAAACCGGTGCATGTGCTAGCATGTCGAAGCGCATTGTGTCTGAGTCACGCACTCACTCTCCTGCTCTTCCCTCATATGACCAAGACAGTATGACCAACTGTGAATACAGTTCATGCCCATATGTGAACTTGTGTGGTTCTCTTGTAGTAAGCTGCCACATGTGTACTTGCACGTGTTGTGTACATGTGTGTGTGTGTGTGTGTGTGTGTGTGTGTGTGTGTGTGTGTGTGTGTGTGTGTGTGTGTGTGTGTGTGTGTGTGTGTGTGTATCTATGGGACTGCGTTCTGCTATTCTCTCTCCGGTGCCTTCGAGGCCCACGCAACCCCTGTGGCAGTGGCTCGACAGCACAGGGCAGGAGTGTGCGCGCGTGCATGTGTATATGTGGGTGTGTGTGTGTGTGTGCGCGCGCGCGCGCGTGTACATGCGCGTGTGTGTGTGCGCGCGCGCGCGCGCGTGTGCATGCGCATGTGTGTGTGTGCGCGCGTGCATGCAGATGTGTGTGTGGGGGTGTGCGCACGCTGATGCTCAGCTCTCCAGAATTATGTCCGTGTGCATAGCCAGTGTATGGTGGCAACATAGCCTTCCTTCATGTATATGTGTATGCGCATACTATTTGGGATGCTTTACGTTTTTGGTGGGATCCAATACATAGTTTTCTGTTCAATTATTTATGTTTATACAGCTGCTGTATTTGTAGTGCAACTTTATGTCTTTCTGCTGGTCAATTTGATGTCTTGATGGTGTTCTAATACTGATATACATAGAAATTATTACCCTCAGAAAGTGTGCTCGTTGTGAAGTTGTCCTTCTTTGGGCTCAAACCATTGCTCGTGTATAGGTAGATACATATCAGTGGGTTCGATTGGTGGCGAGAGGTCAGCCTAAATTGTTTGGGGCGGAATTCGGCACGAAATCCACGCTGAGTACTTTCTGACGACGAGTTGCGTCGGTCTTGAAAACTCTGGCGAGAAAGCGAGGAAAATGATGTCGCTTGGAGCTTTCCGCGAAACTTAGGGCAGCTAATGCCCGCACCTTCCCAAACATTGCCTCGGAACAAGACGATACCACCAGGGAAGCTCTTGTGAGCAAGGGATAAAATAGTCTCTTTTTGGCGATATTGAGCTGAGTTTCAAATTTCCCGGGCCTGGGGTCGGATTTGGAAAATAAAAGTGCAACTTTTAGGGCTCTTTTTCGGTGCTGGCGCTTCGCCTGTGCTAGAGTACCCCTTGTACACCAACTCTAATCATGTCAAGTGACACACCTGCAAGTACAGGCAGTATCGACAGGTTCGATACGAGACCAACGTCCATAACAATGTCAGCAAAGTCATGATATCAAAGCCTGAAACGAGAACTCTGGAACGCACAAGAGCAGCGGAGACAAACAGGGCAGCTTCAGGGGCAGCACCAGCAGCATCAGTACAGTCGTAACACGCAAAATCCAACCTCTCGCTACAACAGGCCTGGTGACTATGCGGCTATAGCACTACGGGTACTGGGCTGTGCAGTGAACACGGCTCTGTATTACTCGTGGGGTTGGTTAGTTTTTTACACATCCCTTTTCTCACCGTCCAAAATAATTGAGACGTGAACATATACATTTTACCGCTCCACAGAGAGACAGGTCCTTCACACATTTACATTTTAAACACAGGGTCCCTACTTTATTCTCAGTCTACCAAGCCATACTGTCCTGCCACACATGACAAACCATGATTACAATTTACATTACGCGAATCCATGATCACATCCACCCGTGCCACACTCCACAGCTACAAAGTACAATACAATCATATGGCCAGTTCCTTACAACAATCCAGCTCTTCTACACACACTCATCATTCCTCATCACACCCACTCCCTCTGAAGTACCCCACCCCGCCCGCTACTCATTCTTTTTCTTTCTTCATGTCATTGTCTTATAGTTATACTACTAGTACTGCCTTGTACTTTTCTGTTTGCTGCAATGCATGTACATGTACATGTCCCCTCTTACTTTTTCTCCGCATGAGGACATGCGCCCGCAAAGGGGAGGGCTATGTTAGATAGGAATACATACATTATATGACATGCACATGTACTTGACTTGTTACACCTGCCTCATCTTCTATCCTCTTTTACATGCACTACTAATACTATACTATGCGCTGTATTCATCTATTGTTCCCACACACTTTCGAGGTTGACCTTAGATAGCACACTGGAGACCTTTTGATGCATTTCACTTTCAGCCACCCTTTTAGTTATCTACACTAACAGCTGTACATACATCCTAATGCCCCTTTCAACAGTTGTCCTCCTGGTATTATTGCACGCCTACATGTACATATATACGATGTATTGTACACCCTTCTATTCAGTTCTTCCTCTACAACGTATTCCTCTTGCACAGGTGCCATGTCCCGACCTTTCCCATTCTTCTGCCCACACAATCATGTACCTTGTAGTTTGACCTTTCTTCTTACTTCTCTCTGCTCTACGTATCCCCTGACCATAGGCTAGCTTACTTACTCACCCTATAAAAGCTGCTGCCTTTCTAGTTTCCTACGGGATTAGTTTCTTGCCGATTAAGACCAGCTCTCCGCAGATCAGTTCCCTGTAGATTAGTTTCATGCTAGACTACAGTGTATTACCTGAGAACTCTTTCTCTCTTTCTCTGAATAAATGTGCAATTCTGTATGATAACCATTATCCATTACTGTACCCTCGTGCTCTGCCGACTGAGTGAACCCGGGATTTAACAGATTTTACTTGGCACCACTGTACATGCCCATGTAAAGCAATATTTCCACCGAGAAGCCAGTCCATGTGCCTGACTACCATCAACATAAACCCATGTCAGAACATTGCTGCAGAACTGAGCACAGCCGTGGTAGTGTTGGTAGCACACATGTCTATTACAGCAACCAGCATACCTTGGGTAGGCAAGATCCATCGCTCGAGCCAGGCTCATAAATCTGCGCATACACACAAAAGTTGACAAAACCCACAGCCAAGGAAGTTCTTCTGGTCAAAGCGATGAAAACGATGACAAAAATCGAAGGGAAAACAGATTGTGCAAAGGGTTTTCCGGATATGATCATCTTTTTCATAATTTTTGAGGAAAACTATGTTCAGGAAATAATAATAATAATAAAACAGGTCGCGTAATGAAGCAGCATAACGATAGATGTGCAAAGTCATGATGCCTGGTCCGCTTCTGTCCTGGGTTCCGTTCAGGAAAGGTTCATCAAAAAATGCTTTCCCAGGTTCATAATTAGGATACAGTCAACTTCGCTAATAACGACTTCGGATATAACGACAATTCGCGAATAACAACAGAATTTCCATGCCCAGAGCAAAGTCCCATCCAACTGTAATACATATAATGGGACTTCGGGTATAAGGACACTTCGCGAATAAAGACACTTTTCTGATGCCCCGCCGAGTGTCGTTATACGCGAAGTTGACTGTACACATAGCCAGCTCCGAAACAACAGTACATGAAGCTAATTTCCAAGCAGAACCAGAGTTCAGTTGAGTAGAGTCCTGCAAAATTCACCCTTGCCTCAAAGCACATCACTTCAATGTCAGGAGAGAGCAAGTTGCATACCAAGCTACAGTCGTCCCTCTCTAATCCGGCACTTGTTTATCCAGCACCCTTGCAAACCAGCACACTTTCTGGCAATACGGATTTTTTCAGTTCATTTTCTACGCTTTAATCCGGCACTTGAATTCCGCCTCCAGCAGCGATTTTCCGCAACAAATCGCTCAAACTGCACATAATTCGGTTTTCTAATCCAGCAGTTGTACGTCGCATACCGTACCGGAGCACAGCTATGTCAGTTTGGTCAGTGCACGAACTACTTATCAGGGAGCATTCTACACATGTAACATACACTTGGGAATATCCTATGCACTGTGTAGACATGCACTCCACAAAGTACTTGGATTGACACGGAAAATCCCTGCGTTTTGACGTACGACACAAACATGTATGTTAGTAGGTGGGCCGGGTTGGAGGACAGGATTTGATAATCCAGCACCCTTGTTTATCCAGCAGAAAATGCCGTTGCAAAAGGTGCCGGATTAGAGAGGGACGACTGTAGTTCCTTCCCTGTTCGTATTTACACCCATGAGTACAGCAGAGAGAAAAGAGGGTGATGGACCTGTACACACGCCAGTCAGTCATGCACATCAGAATGAATGCCAGGATCCATGGATCAGCAGCAGCACCACCAGTAGCAGCACTACCACCACCACCAGTAGCAGCGCTACCACCACCACCAGTAGCAGCACTGCTACCACCACCACCAGTAGCAGCGCTACCATCACCACCAGCAGCAGCACTGCTACCACCACCACCAGTAGCAGCACTACCATCACCACCAGTAGCAGCAGCAGCAGCAGCACTACCACCAGCAGCAGCAACAGCAGCAGCAGCACGCAAACACAGCATACAGAAGGGGAGGGGCAGCACTTACACGTCTGAACGGTGTCAGGTAGGCCAGCTGGCCGAAGATCATACTAGCCGCCACGTACACGACGGAGAGGACAAACATTACCAGGGCAAAGATAGCATGTGCATCCTTCAGTTTACCTGTACACATACACACAACCATACAGCCATAAGCCAGCCATACAGTCATACAGACAGACATACCGACAGAATACATACCGACAGACAGACAGACAGCCGGCCAGACAGACAGACAGCCACACACACACACACGCATGTATGCCAACATTGCGGATACAAACAGCACAGTACATGGACATGTATTGACTTGTCACACTCCCAATGCATCCACACATGTGTTCCTGAGTGCGTCATGTACATATTTCACGACGAATTCCAGTTGTATATTTATGCGAACGCAATAGGCACCTTCTCGTCAAAGAGGAATTTTCAAACCTGGCTCAAGAATGGACAATCGAACACACCCAGAAAAAAGTTCAACCCTCACCCACCTGGACGCCTTGGGACTGAAGTGACTTACAACTGGTAAACTGCGATACATCTATCTGTCATGACTGCGATAATCCCCATACTGGGCCATAGACTAGAAAAGGTTCCCTGTACATATGTATTGACTGTGATAATATATTGAACGGAACAGAACAAGACTAGGGATGTTCCAGTGAGAGTCCTACGTACGGAGGCGCAGAACGGAGAAGAAAAGATCTGTGAGCTGAAGCAGGACGGCACACATGATCACGAAGTTGACGGCCATGTGATGAACGTCGATCTTGATTGCGCTATTGGACTTGCGCAGTGCAAAAAACAGATTGTACTTGTCGATGAAGTACTTGAGAAGTAGGTACGTCAAGCCTGCAAAAGATGCACACAAACAAACAAATATGAATAATAAAATTTCCGAACCGATTTCATTGTTGGTGCAGGTATGCGGCAGGAAGTGGCGCAGTGGGTACGGGTACAACTTAGCTGGAATCGTGCGGCAGGAAATCTGCTTGAATCCTGCTTGTACGCACAATATCACTACAATAACGTAACCCAGGAATTTCGTTGTGACTGCAACAGGTTCAAGCCGCACACTCTTGGTTTCATGCGCTCTTGCCTATGCCATGGGGATAGGTCATGGTGACACCATGTTATCATGCATCCCGCACACTGATGCTATAGTGCTGAAGGTGGGAAAAGCAGCAAGAACTTCTTCATCTTTTAGTGAGAGTCTAGCTGTACGGTTAGACAACAAAGCAGAAATGTCTGTGTATTTGGTGAAGTAAAATAAAAACCAAAAACAAACAAGAAGATGGGCCTTGCACGAAAATTCGAATGATTTAATAATATCTCGGATGGAGAGCCAAGGAAAAATTTATAGTAAAGAAAAAGTACCAAGAAAGTACAAGTTACACCAGTATGTCCACTAACACCAGTGCGCATCCAAGATGTGCTAGAGCTGGTAGCCAGTTAGTTGTAGAACGTCAGTACCGTCGGTCAGTGTCGTGCAATGTTATCGCATGAGCTGATTGTTTAGTAACTGGTGGTGTTAGTGGACATTAGAGAGTAACTTGTAGTTTCTTGGTCCTTTTTCTTTACTGTAGATTTAATATCTCTTTTTCTTTTAGTGATTGGTGTAGCCCAGAGACCATTTGGAGAGTGTTGTGAAGATGTATGGATATACATTGAAGTGGATGGCTACAATGGAGTCTTCGCATTTTGAGAAACAAACAAGAAATGACTCATTTTCCCCCTTCAATTCAGTGTGACAAGGCGCTTTGCATCATCAATCGTTCGGATAATCGGCACTCTACTGTTTGTCCACTTACCAAATATGGTGACAAGTGGGCACGTTATGCTAAACACTAGCGACATTCCAAATATGGTGACGACCCAGGCGTACTCTACACCGTACTGGAAGTCGCCCGCGACAACCTGCAGAAACAGCAGCATGGTAACCATGGTAACATGACGACTAACATCAGACAAACTGTTGAAGAAAAACACAATGCCACCTACCCAAACGACTGTGCATTTAATATGTGGTAAGAAACACCTGATTCCGTCATTCGAAACACAACACAGCCATGTTAGATCAATCGCCAGAAAGCACTCTAGTTATACGATTGCACGTTCTTCGTTCTTCTTGAGGTGTATACCATGATGTGAGGTTATCAAGTAACACGTACAGTGTGCTGCTCAATGAAATCCAGTCGCATCACTCAAGTACGCGCCAGGCGTTGCGCAGCCCCACACCTGCGAACACTGGTCTGCGAAACGGTGCAAGGTGCAAACTTGAGTGATGCGACTGGATTTCATTGAGCAGCACTGTACTAACAACCATCTTCTAACTGACCCAGAGACTGCTGCAGCATGTTCCAGATCTGGTGCGATACAATAAGCTGGTCATGCTCCCTGACTGAGTCCTTCTCCCAGCCCCCAATGTGCAGTGCTGCTTAATGAAATCCAACCCCGGGTCCCTGTGCTGTGCAGCCCGAGCCCGACGAACACTGGACAGTGCACCGGTACAGGGTGTTAACTAATTCACCAGGCTGGATTTCACCGAGTGCAAAACTTCATATGCCTACTCAAGTACAACATAGTTTTAACTGGATTACACCCTCCAATCGCAACCCGGGGAAAACCACTTCAAATGTACGAGCCCACCTACCTTCTTGGCATCCTCTTTCTCGCGCCTGGTTTTGGCCCTGGCCAGCGCAAGGAAGTAACCAATCATTGCCGGCAAGCGAAGCAGCTCCACACCCGTACCGATGAAGGCACAGAAGGTCAGGTAGGAGATGAAGAAGCCACCATTGTTGGGCAAGAAAATACACCTAGAATTCAATGGAGACATGTGTCATGTGACATGTGGTGACACAAACAACATTTAACACATGACTGTATTCAGTGGCAGTGCAAAGTAGGGAGCAACTGCTGGTGCAGTGCTCCTGTGCATGCTTCTGATTCGTCTTTTGTACAAACAGACCTGAACGGAATCTCAATCCATAGGACAGTGGTCTGGATCCCTTGCCACAGCATCCTAATCGAGAAAAAATCCTTGCCTTTGCGCGTCGCGTGATTTGGAAATGATGGTTTGAAACACCGTCAGAAGTGTATTAACACAGTCAGAAGTGTATTTTGGTTCCTGCAATGCTATGTTCTTGGCTACCTTGTTTTTTGGATTTGTGAAATAAAACAATCAACACCATAATCATCACGACGAGCTAGCTCGTGCCTAGTGCCCTAAGGGATTTTGAAACCAGGAGAGTGGACATAGTTTACCGTAGCAAAGTGTTCTTCGCGCCACGGTGTAAGGTGCACTTTCGTACGGTAGCGGTGACAGTGCATGATGGAGTCAGTACGTACGGGCCAGCAGATCTTGCAAAAAGGAAGGTGGGCATTTGCAGCGGACTTTACGGTACATGCAGTAATGCAGTACATGTGCATAGTACAGTAAAACCTGTCAAGGCCACCACTCGGATAAGGTGACCACTCGGATAAGGTGACCACTCGGATAAGGTGACCACTCGGATAAGGTGACCACTCGGATAAGGTGACCACTCGGATAAGGTGACCACTCGGATAAGGTGACCACTCGGATAAGGTGACCACTCGGATAAGGTGACCACTCGGATAAGGTGACCACTCGGATAAGGTGACCACTCGGATAAGGCGACCACTCGGATAAGGTGACCACTCGGATAAGGCGACCACCTGGCCCAACAGACCACTGCAACCAGGACCAAGGGATTCTTTTTCCAGTCAAATAACCCTGGATAAGGAGACTACCTGGTAACATAGACCAGATTTTGAAGGTTCCTTGAGCGGTCGTCTTAGACAGGTTTCTCTGTACATGTATTCGTATTTAGTACTCACTCTAGCTGGTTAAAAGCACTCTCCCTGGTACGAAAGTTAGTGAAGAACGAGTCAAGACTGCAGAGCAAAAGCAAGAAACGCAAACCAAGAAGCAACACAGCAGAGTCAATACACACGGCGTGACACGCGGTGACACAGGGTGGCTGTAAAACATTCTCAAGCAATAGGAGTGTGTTGTCATTCATTGTGTATTCATTGCCTTCCATTCGAAGAGTAAGATACTGCAGTGGTGGCAGCTGAAATCCGACGACCCCACAAGCAGTGCGCTCGCACTGCACCAACACAGCACGCCACCACACCAGCCTCGAAGCATGGGAAGTGCATGCATGCATACCTGAACTGCTGCACTGTACTCATGCTGTATCTTTCAGTTACCGCCGGTTCACAGCATAACGGTACACATGCACGCAGTAGTGCACAGCCACACACACAAAACGAGGAAATGAATGCCAAACAGTAATCTTCATGCCCTGCCCGCATGCCAGGGGCATGCACACTACTCGTTAGGATTCGTTTTAGCCCTGTAGCACTCATACGTAAAACCCTGTAGCACTCGTACGTAAAACCCGAGGGTAGCATTTCAGTTGACACTACTGTAGTTGGCAGTACTGTATGACTCATCATCAACTTTTGCACACATACCTGGCAAGACCGAGAGCCGGAAGGACGAGAGCCATAAGCAAGAGAAAGATAAACGTTTTGCGCATGATGTGCTGCTCAAAGTGCGACCTGCAGTGTGGCAATAAAGAAAACAGACACCAAGGCACACATGCGCGCATGCACAGAGCAAGGCACAGTTAACATGTACCCAGCGGCGCTCACTCCAGCTGGCCATGTCACGCAATCGCAGACCTTAGCTGTGCTCAGCCAGGCCAGCCAGATCAGCCCGGGATGCCAATGAAGTAATAAAGATGAAAGCAAGCATACAGTTAACAAGCTTTGGTACACTGAACAAGCAGGGAACATAACAAATACCCATAGCGTAAAGAGAGAAAGCTTACTTAGTCCAGTGGCTCTCAAAGTATGTAGTGTAAGACACCGCTAGTGGTAGCACCGCTGTCACCAACCACAGTATCAGTGTCGGTAGCCAAATAGTTACCAGCGGATTAGAGGCGAGAGAAGGCTGGGCACACATATGCATACACACACACACACACACACACACACACACACACACACACACACACACATACACACACACACACACACACACACACACACACACACACGAGTACAGACAAGTGCTATACACAGATTGGTAGTGCAAGGCTGTAGTGCATGCAGGCATAGTGCAGCGAAGAGAGACCTAATGCCACGAAGACAGTTCTGGTGCCATTGAAAATAAATGAAACTACACACTCGATATTAAAGTGGATCAATAACAATAATCGGTACTCTCCTTCAGGAGAACGCCTTGCCATTTCAACACACACTACGCCCTGTCTAATGGCTCGCCAGCTGTTTGAACAAATACAGTTTCAATAAAGAAAACAAAATGGAACTGAGCAAGTGAATGGACCATTGCTATAGGCCTGCATCACAATCACAATGAAGTTGTGCCTGTGCAAGACCAGTACTTGTAGCACCAACAGCAGAATGACAATGACAGCACTCACAGTAGCATCGACACCGGCGGCAGCAGCAGTAGCAGCAGCAACAAAATCACTGCAGTGCAGGCAGCAATAGCGGTGGCAGAAGCAATGCCAACGGTGGTGGCAGCAATAACAACAGCAGCAGCAGCAGCAGCAGCAGCAGCAGCAACAGCAACATCAACATCAACAGCAGCAGCAGCAGCAGCAGCAACAGCAGCAGCAGCAGCAGCAGCATTAGCAGCAATAGCAGCAGCAACAACAACAGAACTTACAGACACCCCAGTGATATTCAGTGTACCCAGTGAACCGATTATGACAACCGGTGTTGTCCAGAAGAACAAAATTGTACAGAGAACTGGTGGACACACAAACACAACAACAATCAGATAGCTACTTCTTTTTTGAAGTACATGTAGACACAAACATACTTCAAGTACAAACATTCAGAGAAAAAAACCAGTCACAATACAATGGAAGAACTTAATTCCAAACCACAGCTTCGAAGCAGCAAAACAACACACCACCCAAGTTGGGTGGGTCAGCAATATCAGAGATACTGTAAAACTGGAAAGTCTAACGACCGAAAAGTTTAACGTTTTTGTAACTTTGGCATGATAACGTTCAGAAAGTTTAACGATGGCTACCTGGCCCCCCATCTGTATGCGCATCTTTATACAGACATCTCGAGATAACGTTTCTTCAAATAACGAAAAAAATTGGTCGTTAAAACGTTAGACTTTGCGATTCGTTAGACTTTCTGGTTTTACAGTAAAGGAAAGGGGAGGCTTTGCGAAAACGAATTGAGCAAAACCGGACGCCAATATCTAACGGTACTCCTCATGCATGACACTATTGTGGACGAGTTGACTACGATAACAAGTAAAAAAAGTAGTTTCACACAACATACGTTTCGCCGCATTGTTCGTGACGGCTCATCAGGTGTGCAAAGTTAAACTCGGATACTGAGCCAGCGATAATGTAAAATAGAAGAAAACACGAGGGAACGAGTTATGAAGCAACTATCCACGACTGTAACAAGATAATAAGCAGTGAGGAAGAGTGACAGCAGGACTGCAGATGTGTTAGAGCTACAGTAGGTCTCAGGTCGTTGAATGTCTTAGGAGCCTGTCAGGGTTGTGCCCTGTTATCACACTTTCTGACTGCTTACTATCTTGTTAGTCGTGGATAGTTCTTCATAACTCGTTCCCTTGTGTTTTCTTCTATTTTATTTATGTACTCTTGGTGTGACACAAAAGTCATCAAGATCGGTGATAGAGCACGCACCGTGTCCGTGAATCATCATTATGCACTAGTGTTCATGCGCTGCTAGTGTTGACTGAGAATGCACTTGGTGTACATGAAGTGCATACAAAATACCAACACCAACTGAAATTGTGCCCAGTGTGCAGGGGCACAGCATTCACACATATGGAAAACGAAACCCCCAGGACTCTTCAAATTGTACATTGCTAGTAGCCTACGTAGTAAGAGTTTGACGTCTATGACAATCTTTACGCAAACAATCCGTGACAAGAATTGAATGAAACCCAATTCGGAAAGTGGCTTGGTGTGTTGTCTAGCCACCAATGAGAGCATGTATCCAAGATGAACATCAAGACATATGGATACCACATGGCCAGATGAATAATACACGCGCAGTGTGTTATGTGTATAGATTATAGACCAGTTAGGAGGTCTATACAGGATATATAGACCGAGTAAAAGACCGAGGTCCCCCGAGGTCTTTTACTCGGTCTATATATCCTGTATAGACCTCCTAACCGGTCTATAATCTATTTATCGTGTTCTCCACGCAATAGTTTCTCTTCATATACGACATATCCTTGTAATTTTAGTATTATACTATAGCCTATACCGCATTGTACGGCATTGCCGGATCAAGGTCATTGTTTAAACTAGGTTCAGCATCGGTAGCACAGTGGCTGGGTGGTAAGGAAGAGTGACTGAGATTCACATGGTTGTGGGTTCAAATCCCATCTTGTGTATTTCTGCTCTCTTCAAAAATTTCTTTTTCTAAGTTGGAGAGAAAATTTCTAAGTCCAAGAAATTCTAAGGGGCCGTCCGGGGTTACCGATTGTTTTTACAAAACGAAGAAGTTTTAGTATTTTTCAGCCCCCACCCACCCCAGAAGTAACTGCGCATTCTCCATCAGCATTCAATAATTATTTTCAAAACGAAACTCCATCAAACCCACCCACCCACAAACGAAAACATTTCGTTTTCAAAAATGTTTTATTGGTAACCTTGGACCTAAGGAGTCAAATATATTGTGTATTTGACTAAGGGTGCGTTTGGTTGGTACGATCTAGAACAGGATCGAACAGCTGGTGCAGATGGAGCGGCCTCATGCCAACCAAACGGTACTCCAGAAACAGAGCACATTTTTGTGGAAAAATGTGCCAAACTTGGTGCATTCTTCAAAATGTGTATGGGTCACCATGGTCACTTTGTACGGTACAACGAGTCCAACCCAAAAAGCGTATGCACATGATCATTTGGGACCAAAATCGATGTTCCCGCCAGGTTTCACTGTGAAAAAGTGAAACTGCTCGGTCTGCTCCGGCCTGCAGGCCAGAGCAAGCAGAACATGTTCTGGCCGACCCAGAACAGGTGCAGTCCCAACCAAACGCGCTGTTCTGGTGAATCCTGTTCTAGTTCGTACCAACCAAACGCGCCCTAAGCAGTCAAATACGCGATATATTTGACCGCTAAGGTATCAGGGAAATTAGTGGGGTCAAATACTAAGAAGGCGATAAGCCCGTATATTGCCAAGTCTGGTTTGAGCAACACGGTGTGTGCAATTCTGCTGGTAAACACCAACTGGGGCTGTAAAAGCAAAATTTCAAATCAGACGAGATCAAAACAAATCGAGATTCCCGGGCTCGCGCAAATGCCTACTGAACATTTAATACATATATGCACTGTGAAAACAATCGCCTGACCGCACCAATTTCCCATGGGTGCTGCCTGAGAATCTCAATGTTTTGGGTCGCGCCTCATTTAAGAAGGCAGAATATCTTGAAAACGCCATGTCCAAAGCTCGGCTTCTAAAAAAAATTTATTGGGAGTAAGCAGCAGCAATGATAGCTCAAGCAAAAGCACCAATTTCGCGGTTATGTCCAATATGGAACGGATCAAGTTTGAGGTCGATGTCCGGCTTTTCAGGTTCGGGATGCACCTTGCCGCGCATTCTGCGAGTCCGACGTGATGCCAGAGTTTGTTGCATGGCGATGGGCTTAGGTAATCTCTCCAGAGTCTCGGTGTGCACGTTCATTCCCAAACCAGCCGACAGGTTACGCTGAATGTACTCCAAAAACACATTGGCAGTGGTACCCGTTACGTTCCATAAATACACAGACGTCTGGTACTGGCGCATTTCATACTGGGCCTTGGCATCGCTGAAAATAAATGGTGACTTGTTCACCGTCGTCTTGTGAATCAATTGAGGATACTTCACTGCAGATGAACAGTGAATACCAAGGCATGCTGCTGCATAACGAACGTAAATGCAGTAACTCTCCAACAGTACATGATCGTAAGCATACACTTCCATGTGAACCTCGCGATAGAATTTCGTATCGCCCTCGGCATGGCCCATCGCAGGCTCTGCAGGCTGTGCATGCCTTAGCGCTGCTTTGGAAGGTCCTGAAGTGTTCTTCAGCTCGGGCTCAGTTCCCACTGACACGATAGTCTCGGTTTTAGTCTCCATTTTAGTCTCGGTTTTAGTCTCCATTGTAGTCTCGGTTTTAGTCTCCATTTTAGTCTCCGTTTCATTTGAATGCTCTGCATTCTCAGCACGCCGATGGGCTGATGTTGAAAGCCTCGAAGAAAGAACCTGCTGCAGCGATCTGCCCAGGAGGCGACCATGACCGACCTTGGCCGTCAACATTGTGGAAGAAATCACGCCATGAAACTTCTCAATAGTCAAGAACTTGACAAATATTGACTGTGAAAGTCAACTAAAAAGTTCGAAAAGGAAAACAAAAGCATTCCATTTTTACTCACGCAAAAAAACAACAGAAAGATTTCGTCATCGACGAATAACTGCGGCCGGCGCAAAGATACGCGGTAAGCTACCGCGCATACCGCATTTGAACATCCGCCACCCGCGCCCTGCATGCACTTCTGGGCTTGAAAGTGCTACGTCACAGCATAGCAACAATTTCAAAAATTCAAAAACTGGATCCACTTGGATCCAGTTTTTGCTTGGATCCAGTTTTTGTATGGATCCAAGCACATTTCAAGCCGTCTTACCACAGCATGCATGGTGATGTAGCCAGTGAAACTGACTGATTTGGCTACTGGGCCCGGGGGGTTACAACTGGTGGCGAAATAAAAGTCACACCCGCATGCGACATGAGTGGGTTGCTATGCACCCACATACTTGGGCAATAGCAAAGTCACACCTTAGTGGATCCAAAAATAGAAATCTGATGTCAACTTACTACTCCCTGGCCGTTTTGACGTCATCACTTTCAAGCCCTTATATATGCGCTAGCGGTTGCAGTAGCATGGGCGGCATAATACAATCAACTAACTTGCTTCGCTAATAACGACTGCGGATATAACGACAATTCGCGAATAACGACAGAATTTCCATGCCCAGAGCAAAGTCACATCCAACTGTAACACATATAATGAGACTTCGGGTATAAGGACACTTTGCGAATAAAGACACTTTTCTGATGCCCCGCCGAGTGTCGTTATACGCGAAGTTGACTGTACAATACCAAGAGTACATAAACCCAGAGTGTGCAGCTCGGATGGGTTGCTGTCACGGCGGAATTCCGTGATTACAGTAAAACCTGTAATGGCGACCACTTTTCCTTGTCACGGACGCATTCACGTTCAAAACACCTCGGATAAGGCGACCACTCGCTCAACGCGACCAACGACAACCCACCCGCGACCGCGTTGCACAGTGCTAGTCATGTAAATGTACGCTTTGCATGGTGCACCAGGCATGGTAGATCTACACATCAGTGCAGGAAGTGTAGATGTACATGGGGCATGCACAGCATTTGACAGGTCTGAGGACTCCAGGTACATGAGTCGTGCTAGAGTAGCATAGGCGTGTGCACTGTGATGCACTGATCAAAATGATGTATCACATGTGGATATGGTCACGTGACCCGCTGAACCTGGATAAGAAGACCAACTGGCCACGGCGACCACTTTTCTCGTCCCTTGAGGGGTCGCCTTTTAGACAGGTTTCACTGTACATCATTTTAGTGATGTAGTGCGTACAAGCAGGATTCAAGCAAGTCTCTTTCTGCACAACTGCAGCTCAGTTGTACGCACTACGCCATTTCCCGCCTCAGATCTGTGTGCCAAATATGATGTAATCACGGAATTCCGCCGTGACAGACACCCATAGTAGAAAAGGCCCCCAGCTGCACACTCTCGCTTTCATGTACTCTTGATAATACCGGCATGGCACTGAACCCGCACAACGGCGCGCGCCGATGCGCGGACGGAACATCTCCTCTCTTTGATAGCTGATCTACAACTACCATACCAAGCAAGGCTTCTTTATCATAGGCTGTGTTTACATGAGAAATTTCAACCCGGTTCGAGTTCAGCCCGGGTTGAAAGTCTGTACGATAGACAAAACAGGTGAGCGTTTACATGAAGACAGTTGACCGGGTCAAATACTGATATACCGCCAAAATTCCACTTCTAGAGTCCTGTATGGTCACGTGAATTCTTTTCCGCGAAATTTGCATGTGCAGTGCTGTTCAAACCTGGCGCGAGATACGCACAGGATTTCTTCGACCCGGGTCAAGCGCAATGCGTCATGTAAACGCGCCATTCATTTTGTGTACATGGCATGGCGGGTTGAAATCTGACCCGGGTCGAACTCAAGTTGAAACGCCTCACGTAAACACAGCCATAATGAACAAGTCTAGACTGCATGTGCTCGTGGTAGTACCCTCGAGATCTCGTACGAGCTCGATCGTACATCCAGCTTTCTTGATAGAACTGAAATGACCAAGGACTGGAGTAGTAAACACTTTTACTGGACACATTTAGAGAGGTTCAAGCTCAACAAAATGTGAGAACAGAAAGGAAACACAACTAACAACTTGTTCGGAACGCAACACATTCAAATGGAAAAAAAGCCATCACTTGTAAGTTAGTCACGTGTGCATGCAACTTAGGAACTGATCACGGTGATAATTTTTTAGTACACTGAACACTTTTACTGCTATCTCCTGTCCTGGCAATGGCTAATGAAAGCCTTGCTTGCTACTAGCACATCACACCGTATTGTAATGTAGTGTGGTACTTGGCACTGTTGTGGACATTGAAATCTGGTGGAATGACTGGGCCATGGGGCCGGCACCCTTACGGCCTTACAAAAACAACTGTAGTTCAGGAATCGTGACACTGTAACATAGACCAGCAGTGCTCACGGCTACAAGGCCAGCAGTCAGCACCCCATGGCCGCTTGACTTCTCAACGGATTTCAATGTCCACACCAGCATGATGATTGATGATGACAGCCTACTAGTACCACAAGGCGGAGGACACACTGCACTGAAAAGGAATGTTTCTGGGGTGGCCTCCGCCTTGTGGCATGCCATCATCATCGTCATACCAAGTACTACATGTGCCATGTACTGTAGGAAGTATGATGACAGAAGATCATCACAAGGCGTATCTGTGTGTGTGTGTGTGTGTGTGTGTGTGTGTGTGTGTGTGTGTGTGTGCGTGTGTGTGCGCGCACGCGTGTGTGTGTGTGTGTGTGTGTGTGGTGTGTGTGTGTGTGTGTGTGTGTGTGTGTGTGTGTGTGTGTGTGTGTGTGTGTGTGTGTGTGTGTGTGTGTGTGTGTGTGGTGTGTGTGTGTGTGTGTGCAGTGTGTGTGTGTGTGTGTGTGTGTGTGTGTGTGTGTGTGTGTGTGTGTGTGTGTGTGTGTGTGTGTGTGTGTGTGTGTGCGTGTGTGTGTGTGCACCCAAAGCGTTTCCGACGACAGCAAGACTTGACGAGGCACCAGAAGTCCTGCCAATGACGGTGCCCTCCAAACTCTGGCCCCCTCCGGGGGTGACATTGCCCAATGGGCAGTCATGCAGTGCTGCCAAATAATTTTCGCCTAAAATCCGACACCCTTCACCGCCAAGGCTGGCCACATGGTGCGAATTTTTCTCCTCGGCAATTTTTTTACAGAGAATTCAAAATATCACCTAAAACACCATGAAAATTCGCTTCGTTGCCATGGTAGCCCCAGAGTTGTCATGAATTTTGTAATGATGAGTGTGGTCGCACACTGACTCTGTACAGACTGTCAGTGTAGATCTACATGTACATGCCATCCAGCCTGATCCAGGCATGTTACTTTGCACTTCCACAGCCAAACGCTAGCCTTTTTAGAAGCAAATGTACAGTGATTTGTGCCTTCAGTTGCGCTGAAAAGTGAAAGTACAGGACTTCTGCATAGGAAAGTGATGATCTCCGACATTTTGGCTGCTTTTCGGACGTTTCCCTTTTCGGACCGGTTTTCGGAAGAGCCTTCAAAAATCGGACATTGTCCGAAAAATCGGACGGTTTGGCAGCACTGGTCATGCTATAGTAGTAGTAGTAGTGCGTGTGTGCGTGTGTGGTGTGTGTGCGGTGTGTGTGTGTGTGTGTGTGTGTGTGTGTGTGTGTGTGTGTGTGTGTGTGTGTTTCCTCCTTCGTTTATCTGGGTTCTGTCATCACTCCGGATGCGCGTTCTGCAGGAGACGTTTCGAGGCGTTTGTCACTCGCCTCGCGTGCCTTTGGATCGCTTCAGGATGTGTTTGCTAATCGTGATCTTTCACTCCATGTGAAGCGCCGATTGTATAACGCCTGTGTGATGACAGTGCTACTGTATGCTTCGGAGTGCTGGTGCCCTTTGCAGGGTGACCTCCGGCGCCTCGATAGTTTCCACCACCAATGCATCCGTAGCATCTTGTGTGTTTCGCGAACACAACAGTGGGAGGAACGCATCACCAATGAGCAGCTCCGAGAGATGTGGGGTGATCCATCGCTATTGTCCTCCCGGCTTCGGAAGCGGAGGCTTGAATGGCTTGGCCATGTGGCCCGCATGTCGGATGTTCGTGTGCCCAAGCAGCTGTTGTTTGGCTTCCTACCGTCGCCTCGGCCTGCGTGTGGTCCCCGTCGTCGCTGGAGGGATGTGATTTCGGCTGATCTTCGGCACATCGGCATTGAACATCTAGCTTGGTATGAGATTGCTCAGGATCGATCTGCCTGGCGGGTGTCTGCCGTTGGGCCGAGCCTCGGCGGTCCTTCCCATGACCAATCTCAACGGGTGGACTGTCTTATCTGCCACCGTTCGTTTCGTCGGCCAGGTGACAAAGCAAGACACAAGTGTAGCGCAGAACGAAGTCTCCCCATCCAGGAACAGCGTGGTGCTGTGCAGTGTGGTACATGCAGGAGGTGGTTTCACTCTCGTGGTGGCTTGCGTGTACATCATTGTTTGCCCCTGGAACCATCGGAAGCGTCCGCGCCGGCATCACCTATTCCGCTCAACGTCCCAGCTTCTCTCTTGTGTGTGACATGCAATCGGCAGTTCAAGTCAGTGCCTGGTTTCAGACGTCACAAGTGCGACCGTGGCCATCGAGCAACCAAGTCTGATAGAGCGTCGTATGGTGTTCGCTGTTCTCGCTGCAGCCGTCAGTTCCGTCGACAGAGTGACCTGAGTCGTCATCTCCGTTTCTGCTCCTGACAATGACTCTGGCTCCTTTCGGAGTGGTGTGGCCCTTGTGGCAACCAAGCTACAGTAGTAGTAGTAGTAGTAGTAGTAGTAGTGTGTGTGTGTGTGTGTGTGTGTGTGTGTGTGTGTGTGTGTGTGTGTGTGTGTGTGTGTGTGTGTGTGTGTGTGTGAGGTGTGTGTGTGTGTGTGAGGTGTGTGTGTATGTGTGTGTGTGTGTGGTGTGTGTGGTGTGTGTGTGTGTGGTGTGTGTGTGTGGTGTGTGTGTGTGTGTGTGGTGTGTGTGGTGTGTGTGTGTGTGTGTGTGTGTGTGTGTGTGTGTGTGTGTGTGTGTGTGTGTGTGTGTGTGTGTGTGTGTGGTGTGTGTGTGTGTGTGTGTGTGTGTGTGTGTGCGTGTATGCGTGCGTGTGTGTGTGTGTGTGTGTGTGTGTGTATGTGTGTGTGTGTGTGTGTGTGTGTGTGTGTGTGTGTGTGTGTGTCGTGTATGTTCGCATATCACATGACATGGCCTAAAATGGCCAGCAGCACGCCAGGGACGGGTGGACGTTCATCCATGACTTAGGTACAAGTAGCTCTTTGATAACCAGGTAGTGTTCTACTATGATACACCTCCCTGTTGATCAAATACATAATTATAGGCTAAGATCAAGCAAACTAGTAGTGGAGGGGCCTGAGCTGAGCTCTCTTGTTTATTTTCAATTCTATCGGGGAAATCTTTAGCGATTCCCAAACGAGCACGGCTCTGTGAAGAAAATGTTAGCGACTACGTAGTGTAAATTCTCAAGGCAGCAAACAGGTAGAGAGGTGAACGTTGATTCGAGGACTATGACATTACTATTTTGGCGAGGCTGGAGTTTAGCAACACGCATGTCAGGTGTCAGTCAGTCGACAGGAGGAGCGAGCTCCAACGTTGGGAGCAGCCACCTACTTCAAAAACACCCCTTTCGCTAAAAGGCTGAAATGAAGATGATGTCATGCCAAGCGGTAAGGAGTGACCCTATCTACCTAGTAGCATTGTACATCCAGAATTCTTCAAACAATTGCACAAGGTCTTTGCACAATTCCCTCACCCCGAATGATACGGCCACGTACCAATGGATCACCATGGATATGCATGCCTTGTCCACAAGCAACGTAGCCGTGCAAACATGTGCACGACTACTGGCCTGCTGCTGCTGCTGCTGCTGCTGCTGCTGCTGCTGCTGCTGCATGCACAACAAACCTAGCTGGTGCTAAACAAAGATCGTAACGGGTCGGTCATACAAAGATCGTAACGGGTCGGTCATACGGGCACACATTGAAACCAGGCGCTAGTGGCAAAACAATTGAGAAGCAAAGCGATATACTTACAAGCATTTACCAGCACAAACCGGGCCCACCAGAGCAACGTCCCCGTGGACAGATTTTCCCTGTGATCAATGGCATCAACAACAGGAACCAAGACACAGGATTTAAGGGTTCTTTGTTTAAAAAGACTGAACATACGCCCACATGCACGAAAGATCAGGATACGGACACACGCAAGTGCCGACCCCAGAGCCCCAGAGAACCAGGAGCGCACATAACTGGTAGCTACAGTGCTGCTCAATGAAATCCGATCGTGTGAGTCAAGGTGGCGCTATGCACCAGTTCACATGTCAGTGTTAGCAGGTCAAGAGCTGCATAGCAATGCCCGACGTGCACTTGACTCAGACAATCAGCATTTATTGGGCAGAACTGTACTAGGCACGGCCAGAGTTCTGCTGTGAACAACATCAAAGTTTGACCTAGAGCCGTCACAGCATTGTTTACGATAGTAATGAGAGTGCAGGTTGAAAGTGAGAGAATCTGCACACCGAGATGGAAGCAATCCAGTCCAAACAAGCAGGATGCTGACGCAAATCATTATAATATACCATGTGAGGATCATCCACTGTCCGCGGAGGGCTCAATTTGCCAAAGGCAAAGAGTGATTGGGGCTGTACAGGGATGATGGACTTGCCGTTGAACGTAATGTCTCTGCACGCAATACTGACAGGTTGCACAAGGATATCATTGCAGTATTGCAGTCCCTCAGGCTAAGAGTCACTATCCAAGCTAGTCGAAAGGCCAGTGGCTTCCTGGACGTCACGTTCCACTTGCCAGCTGGCCGATTCAGTGAGTGCGTTCGATTATGCGCGCGAATCGATTCACGAATCGATTCCCGCTATTCACCATCCCATGTGAATAGGGTGAATGGATTCCGAATCGATTCCAGGGCTCATGACATGAAAATCAAACGACTTGAATGCATGCGAATGGATTCATGAATCGATTCAACTGCATAATCGAACGCAGCCAGTACGCATCGGAAACCGAATGATACTCCACTCCACAAGCACTGTCACTCCAACCACCCCCTACCCTTATCAAGTGCCGGCCAGCAGGGACTAGTAGATGCCTGCCCTGCATCTCATGCGACGAGGTCGCTTTCTCAGTGGCGAAGGCTATGTACAACAATGCACTGGAGGTCAGCAGCTACATCGAGAGAGTCGAGTACTCCGAGAGACAGAGATTAGCAGAGAAGAAAAAGAAGAAAAAATCTAGAAATATTATTTGGTTCAATCCCCATTTCAGCCTGAATGTCTCTACTGACGTGGCACGTAACGTTGCTTCCTGAAGGCAGTTGACAGGCACTTTCCAAAGAAGTCGCCATTCCACAAAATATCGTCAAGGTCAAGTATTCAACGGTGCCCAATATGCAGTCCATTATCCGGGGCCACAACAACAGAAATTCGAAGGAGAATAGCAATGACCCGCAGCCGGCAGAGGCCAAGACGTGCAACTGGCGCAGCAAGCAGGAATGCCCTATGAACGGCCAGTGCCTCACTAGCAGCATTGTCTACCGTGCTGATGTGAAAGGCGAGAAGAAGGTGAGAAGAAGTTCTACTATGACCTCACAGAAAACACATTCAAACAAAGATGCAACGGCCGCCTCACCACATTCCGGCATGAGCGATACGAGAAGAGCACTGAGCTCTCTAAGCACGTGTGGGAGTTGAAAAGGGCAGGCACGCCGCATACAGTTGCTTGGTCAACCACCCGCCCTGCAAGGCCGTACTGAAGCTCCAGTTAAAGGTGTGATCTCTGCTTCACGGAGAAGCTTTTCATCGCCCGTACAGATAAGGCCAGCTGCCTCAACAAGCGATCCGAGCTGGTGTTGAAATGCTGCCACGAGAACAAACATTACTTGTCAAACTTTGTCACCTCATTCTCCGAGTACATGTATATCACATTACAATACACAGAAAACTACACTTTCTCACTCACCCCATATCGCGCTACATATTACCAAGAGTCCATAACCCCCCAGAGTGTGCAACTCGTGATCCTTCTCAGCACAAATCAGTGCCGCAACGAAATCCAAACTTCATACGTCATGTAGTGAGTAGCTATGACGAAATGGGAAGTTTGGCCCGGACCTACTTCGCCCGTTTGCCCAATTTGGGGTCTTCCTTTACGTAACGGCCAGGTATTGTACGTAACACGCCTGGAAAGGCTCAAGTACACAAAGAATTATTTTAGAGTTGTCGAAGAGTTTTCTCTTTTGAGTGTCTCTCCGATAAGACAATGGCCACTGTTGAACCTAAAGCAAAGCGCTCCCCATTGTCGCCGGAGTGCAGTGTCTCTGTGGACGATATTCGTCAGTTTTTGCTCGATCTGGGCTCCTCATTTTCTTCTCTCGATTGTCGAGTGTTGGAAATTGTTAATTCTTCCAGCACCTGGATAGAGATTTATTGCTCGAAGTCTGTGCTTCTCACATGCAATGGAACACCCGTCAATTTGAACCGTCTGGTTGTGAACCCAGCAGGAACATTCACTTTCGAGTGTCTCTTTGGTGGGCGAACGGAGGAGGGAGAGTGTGCCGATGATTTGGATACGCTTACTCCGTATTTGGAAAGTATGCTACCTTCATCGGACATGAAGTTCTGCCCTGGGATAGCTGACTATGGGAAGCAATTCGAGTCAGTACGTTTCCACACGAAGAATTTGAGGAAGTAGACGTTTCCTTTTGTTCGCTTTGACAGCGAACACTGTTCTGCATGGCAAAAAAGCAGGTCGAACTTTGCCACTTGAGGAGAAGAACTCCCCCATTGTACCATGCAAGGCTTGCAAAGCACTACAGCATGACCTGGAGCGGCTGGTGAAAAGGGCAACTGAAAGAAACCAAGATGACAAGGCTGCAAGAGTGTCAGCATCCTCCACTGTGCCCCTGAAGTATCTGTCCCCTCACAGCCATTCGGTGCGTGCTCGCAATAAATCAGAGGTTCAGCGGATCACGAAGCGGCAGTTGGCTCGCTTGGAACAGTTTGACTTTGAACTATGTGAGGAACAGTCTTCGGAACTGTCTGCTGTATGCCAGGACATCAGTTCCAGCTTTGCACCAGACCTGGAGGGAATTTTTGAGGATGCTGGAGATGAGGCCGACATTTTACGGGCTGCTTGGCATTCCGATGTTGTGGCCCAGGAGCAGTTCAACAAGGACCAGAAGCGAAACGCGTCTGGGTCCAAGGGCAACAGGTGGAGTATGATAACTTACCGGCTTGCTCTGGCCGTCTTCACCCGCAGTCCCGCAGCCTATGAAGCCTTGAAGTCTTTTGGGATTTTGCAACTACCAAGTGTGCGCTCTTTGAAGCATTTTACGGGAGCACATTTGGATAACCCCGGGTGGTGTGAAGACAACATGGTCTTCCAACTGCAGAAGTACAGTAACTTCAAGAAGGTGGCCGAAGCTGAGCAGCGGTTAGTCCCCACCGGAGATGGTGTGATGGTCTTTGACGAGGTCAAAGTTGTTTCCAAAGTTCTGTGGAACTCAAAAAGTCAGCAGATATATGGTCTGTCCATGACCAGTGATGACCTGTCCAGCCTCCATGATGTATATACAGACTTGAAGGATGAGAAAACGGACCGCACTGAGTATATACTTCAGACCCTATGGCGGGACATGTCGGGAAGTTTTGATATCATCGGGCCCTACTACACCGCTGCCAAGACTCTGGATGCCAAGTTCACTTTGGCCTGTGTAATGGATACACTGCGCCTTTTCCATGCGTATGACTTCAAGGTCAGTGCTTTGGTCTGTGATGGTGCTTCAACGAACATGGCCATGATCAAGTCTATGATGGGAAAAAGTGGTTCATTCGGCATGCAAGAGGAGGAGGGTCCGAATCGACATGACATAAGGGCCTCGGTGGAACATCCAGTTTGGGCAAATCATCGACTATTTTTCATCATTTGCCCATCCCACCAGCTCAAAAACATGGTTAATGCTTTGAGCTCGTCGTCTCATGGTGGAGCTAAGGCATTTGTCACCCAGGAAGGTGTTCCTTTTGGATGGCAGACTATTATAGACATGTACCAACGGGAGTGTGCCAAGATGAGAGCAGGCGAGCCTCGCGATGTGCCACATCTCCGTAAGAACTTTGTTTATAGGGACTCCTGGACTAAGTTGAATGTTTTGCCAGCCAAAATCATGCAGCAGGAGAAAGTTCTGACCGAACTTGCTGTGCACTGCCTTAGCCATCCTGCCGATGTAGCAAATGTTCAAGCATCCCGGCAGTACCTTCTTGCTTGCAGCAAACTATTTGAGGAAGGCACACTCTCCCATGTTCCAGTACGCAGCCCCACATGTACACCACTGCAGTCCATCAAGTCAGGGTATGCATTCTTTGAGTCATGGCTGAATGGACTTTTACTGGACCCAGCCTTCACTGCCTCCTCTCCAAAGCAGACCTCATTCTTGTCGTGGCAAACATGGGACCTCCTCAGGATAATGTGCTTTGGCTTCGTGGAGTTCTGTGAGGACTATGTCACACGTCATCCAGGATACTACATTGTGCCAGTGAGAGTATCGGGCAGTGCTGTGGAGACATTGTTTTCCCAGCTTAAGCATTCTGCCAGAGGCCGTTTGTCTGCAGTTAATTACAGTACAGCCCGCGCATCTTTGGCTTTGCAGCGCAACCTTCATCCAGTCCATGCAAGTGGCAAGGACTACCGTGATGCTGCACTTGACTATGAAAGTGTGCCACTACGTAGGAAGAAGTAAGCACAGACAGGCATGTCACCTTTCAGGAGCTCGTGTTTTCTTATTGTTTGAGGTGGGTTTTCCCCTTCAATAGCCTCATTTTTTCTTATTATTTGAGGTGGGTTTGTCCCCTTGAATCGGCCTCATTTCTTCTTATTATTTTAGGTGGGTTCGTCCCCTTGCATAGCCTCATTTCTTCTTATTATTTGAGGTGGGTTTGTCCTCTTGAATAGCCTCATTTTTCCTATTATTTGAGGTGGGTTTGTCCCCTTGCATAGCCTCATTTCTTCTTATTGTTTGAGGTGGGTTTGTCCCCTTGAATCGGCCTCATTTTTCCTATTGTTTGAGGTGGGTTCGTCCCCTTGCATAGCCTGCATAGCGTCCCTCCTTGAGGGTTTGGCGTGGTTGTGTGCGGTACTCGCTGCCCTTTGAATGCTTGTCCAGTTGTTTCCACGAGGGGCCTATGATACGTGTGCACCACTGTATGTATTCCATATGTTTACAAGGATCATGGTGTTACAGCTTCGGCTTCATCTACGGCAAACCTCATTGTTTTGTGCCTGTTTTGTTGTGTGTTGTGATGGACTGTGCGAGAAAGGATGAGTCTGCCAATGACTTTCATCAAGAGTCCATAACCCCCTATAATACGGGGGGGGGGGGGGGGGGGGGGGTATGGACTCTTGTTCTCATCTGTTTCACAACATTGTATGATGATTGTTTTGTCCCCTTGGCACATGGTAACGGTAGGTTCGCAGTGCTCTCTGATGTTTTTTTTTTTAGTTGCTCAATAAGACTAAGAGTCACAAGCCAGCATAATGCACTCAGGTAATAAATAAGACACACTGTAGTATCCTCACACAACCAAAATAATCATCTCAACTGCATGTATGTAACTTGGCCTTTATGCAATGAGTAAATATTCGCACAAGAAGCACTGACCATCACTCCGCTTCATGATGAGTGGGCCAAATGGGAAGAATGTTCTCTTCTCCCAACACTACATCGAACTAACGTGCACAACCATGCCAAACCCTCAAGGAGGGACGCATGCAAAAAGGCAACGGAATATATATATATAGCTCCAGGAGGGACGCATGCAAAAAGGCAACAGAATATATACAGCTCCAGGAGTGATGCATGCAAAAAGGCAACAGAATATATACAGCTCTAGGAGGGATGCATGCAAAAGAGCAACAGAATATATACAGCTCTAGGAGGGATGCATGTAAGAGAGCAACGGAATATATACAGCAGTGCACATGTGGCATAGGCCCATCGCGGTAACCACCGGACAAGCATGCAAAGGACAGCAAGTGATGCGCACAACCACGCCCAACTCTCCAGGAGGGACGCATGCAAAAAAGCAAAGGAATATATACAATGGTGCACACGCTCTATAGATGCATCAATGGCTTCAGTCACTTGGGATGGACCCACCTCAAATGATAAGAAAATAAGAGGCTATGCAAGGGGACGAACCTACCTCAAACAATAGGAAAAATGAGGCTATTCAAGGGTATAAACTATAAACCCACCTCAAATAATAAGAAGAAATGAGGCTATGCAAGGGGATGAACCCACCTCAAATAATAGAAACAATGAGGCTATTCAAGGGGACGAACCTGTCAGGCAGATACTGCCCTCTTACATGCATTCATTGATTGTGTGGAAAGTCCTGACAACGCAAGGATAGTGACGTCCTTCAAGCATTACCAACATGGAGCCGGTCTCGTAGATTGAGACCACCGGTGGAAGATTTCCCATCTTCCAGAATCTGGTTTTGCTCAGCCGCATCAATGACTTCTCCGCACACTGCGTTCGTGACCTTCATGACGAGCTTGTGGGCCACGGCAATGATCACTTGATCCTCATACTTGTCTATGCCAAGTGTAGTCTGGACTGAGGAGATAAGACTCTTGGGTAATGTCTTGTCATGCTCAATACATGCAGAAGCAACCCTGACTAAATCATTGCCATACGTTGAGTAGGCATCGTAGTTAACAACAGAATAAATCTTCTGCAGGGCCAGACGAGCAAACTCCATATGCTCCTCCTTCAGGAACCTCATATGTCCCTTGTCACGAATGGAAAGCGACTCCGGAATGCTGGCTTCATCTTTCTCTGAATTGCTGACGCAAAGAGAACGAAGCAACACCAGCTCATTCTCTTCATTTCCACTCAGTGATCCGGATGTCTGTGCAGAGGCTTTTCTCTTCAAACCACCAATGCAGGAGGACAGTGCCCAGCCAAAAAAGCGATGGTAGTGTGTATCTGTTAGGGGGACAGGGTCCAACTGGGCCAAGTTGTCCACAGGCTTCAGCACATGTTTGATCACACGGCAGCACTCCAGCCAAACTGCGGCACCCACAGCCATTACAATAGAGGTACGATCATTCTCGCCGAGTCCACATGATGTCACATCAGGGCTATCCACATTTGACTTGACTAAGTGTGACCATTTCACCTGGAAAGTGGAGTACTTGTCAGCTCTAGCAGAGCACTGGCCATATAGGTCCACGTAATTCTTCACAAGCAAACTACAAAGGGACTTCCAGCATCCGTTCGCCGTGAAACTCTGGAGACGTGCTGGAAACAGCACCATATGGCGCTCAGCAGAGACAATGCTGGAAACATCGCTGGATAACTGCTCCAAATCAATCTTCTCCAGGGCATGAATGATCGATTTCTTCTGCGATGCAGTCAAAGCTTTCACTTTTGCCTTTCTCCTCTTGCGACGAGCAGGAGCAGGAACAGGAGCAAGACCAGGGGCAGGAAGAGGAGCAGGAGTAAGAGTAGGATCAGGAGGGTTACACATGGTGGAGGACACCATCCCAGTTGAACTACTTGTACCAAAATGGGACTGAGGAGCAGGTTGAAGCACATCTACTTCGAAATCGATCGGGTCTTCATGCCGTGTGCCAAGAGCTATTTCCATCAAATCTTGTAAATCTATATCCATGCCTATTCTTGCTATCCCGGAGTCACGAACTCTCCCAATACAAGCTTTTCAGACAACGAGCAGAGAAACTCTCTTCAAATAAAAAAATTCTGTGACTGTGAAATCAAAGCCGTTCTGCTGACACTGCATAGCCCGTGGAGCAAACGTTTTACGTGACACTTCCGTGGCTTGCTACCCCCGCCGGATGTACCAGATATCATGGCCCCATCCGCCCATGCTTGCCCGAGGACCGGATGACGCAATGTTTGGATTTCGTTGCGCCAGACCCCAACCTGGAGTTGCACACTCTGGGGGGTTATGGACTCTTGATATTACATGACAGTTGTTACGCTGGACTTGCCACATCCATGGTATATTACAGTTCCGTCAGGGTAGGGACAATGTCACCTTTCGTCTGATGATCGATTCAATTCATGAAACTTAGAGTTTAATATGAAAATACAACTATTCGCCCTTCTTAGACTCGGATGGAGAGGTAAGGATGAATTTATAGGAAGAAAAAGGACCAAGGATCTACAAGTTACACTATAATGTCCACTAACACTACCAGGTACTTGCCGTGCAATGTTATCGCATGAGCTGATTGTCAAGTAACTGGTGGTGTTAGTGGACATTATAGCATAACTTGTAGGTCCGTGCTCACCGCCCACCGCTTTAGGAGCTGCATCTGCGCCTTGATCCTTGAGGGTGGTGGCGTTCCTGTGGATGCGGAAAACTCCGAGTCTCACTCGAACCGTGACTTTTTGTTGTTATTGTAGATCCTTGGTCCATTTTTTTCCTATACGTTTGTCCTTCTGTTTGTGTAATCAAACTAATCATTATCATTTATAAAGCCCTCCAGCGTCTGTGGCCGTGCAGCCTGCTCTCAGATGCAGAACTACAGAGCTCTCTGCAACTAAACATGGGTGTGTTGCTAGTCCAACTAGCCCGCTACAAAAGTGTGTGTTGTGTGGGGTTGCGGTACCACTACATACCACTTGAGGTTCTTGGGCAGAGGAGCAAGTTCCACGGACCACTGCTTGCTCCGCA